AGAATTTTCTTTTCTTTTCTAAAAAAAAATAGACATTTAAGACTTAAGATGTTTTTGTGCATTTAGGAATTTAGTTGCCGTTTCCCTATTAGGCCTTTCTCTTTTGAATGTTTTGGTATATGTTAAGAGCCGATGGTACACAGTAGCTGCGTTTACATGGGCACAAATAATCGGAATGAAAATGTGTCATGTAAACATGTCAATCGGAAGATTCTGATCCAATTCGGCTCAATTGGAATGAAACTGTATTCCAATCGAGAGGGCTGGTTTATGCTGATTGTTACTCTGAAACGCGTCAATGTAAACACTTATTCCGATCGTGACTTGGTTTTACTTTGAAAATGTTCCGCCATTTGAAAAGATACCCCAACATATCCTGTAGATGGCGCAGCGACCTCTTGACAATCTTCGTCCACTAACTACCTCACAGCACAGCAGAGTGACGGATCTGAAGCAGGCAGCTCAGGGACGCACGGAGGAGAGTGGTCCACCTCAACGGTAAAGTTAGTTAAAAACGCTTTTCTAGTCCAAGTTTGATCAGTCGGTCTTTCTGTCGGTGTGAAGAGCAGTAGCCTACAGTATATCTACAGTACAAATATATTTTTTAAAACCTAATAAAAAAAATTTAAAAAACGTCTGATTAATCTGTAATCAAATTTTGTTCCCCTCTTATAATTGGTATCGGAATCGGCCCCAAAAATTCCTTATCAGTTGGGCCCTAGTTTCATTATTAACACTCTGGTATAAAACACAATTGCAGGTGCCGTGTCTGCTCCTTCAGTAACATAACAAGGTGTACAAACAGCGTAATGATGTCCGTCTGCACGCACAGTGCAACCTTTGACGGAATAATAAAAAATGAACGTAAGGGCGCCATCTAGTGAGAATATTTAACAGAGGAAAAAATCCTGAATTGGATGACGTGAGCCACTACCACGTCTGATGGTTTGTCGACAGCACAGGCGGTAATACAACTCTTCTTATGCGGTTGTTTTAGCGAAATCAGACAACTGCGCATGTCATGATCGGATTATTTGACTCTGCACCCATATAAACAGTAGATTCAGATTTTCCGATCCCTCAAATTTTAATCGGATCAAGAAATTTTGCCCATGTAAACATAGCTACTGTGGCTGTAAGATGATAACTATCACAGTTAGCATTTCACAAACTATGAATAGATCCTAAATTACTTCATTTGGACACTGAAGACAACAGTCCTCCTTTAAATGTGTAAGGTATAAATATTGTACAAAGGTGTTTCAGTCTAAAATAACCTCAAAGTTAAATCAGAATAAAGCAGAAGCTTCTGTGTTTCAGCCAGGTGGCATCTCTCTGGTTTTCATGATCACTGCCAGCAACTCTAATGAGCTTTTTTTAGGGAACAGGAAACAAATTCTGCAAACTTCACCTCAGGAAACATTGCACAAAAAAATAGTGACATCTGATCTAGGTGGGAATTGCTGGTATAGCCTAAAAACTACTAAACAATTTAAAGGACAGTTTATGAAGTAAGCTCTGGTTGTAAAGTGCTGCAGCTGTAGTCTCTCCAATAAGATATTTATTGCATCAATTTCTGGTTTCTTTCCCAGGAACTGGTTCGTTTGTCTGAGCCAAGACTCGGCCCCTCTGTTTACCACCCAGCGTTATCGGCCTCACTGTGAAATCTGAATCGATATCCTCATCATAAAAAGTCCCAGGCCTGCAGCAAATTTGAATCTATAGTATGGAGAGCTAAAGAGATCTATAGAAGTGCCAAGGCTGCCCTAATGAATGATGAATCACTCCAACATGCACACGCATACACACGTGCATCTGCTCACTTAGTATCAGACAACAATAAAAACTGCTTACACACTTAGACACACACGCACGGTCCTGTTGTGTCACATACTGTCTGACAGGCCGGTGTGAAACATGACTCCATCATTAATAATGGATAGTAAACCTGGATGTGCACAACACTTCCACTGTTTCACTAGACGCAGCATTTCCATACCCCTGATACTTTGTTTACACTTATTGACTCTTTTGGGAAACAGAGACACCACCGCGGCTGAATCCATCGCAGCATGAAATTACAGGAAATGGATTTTTCTTTGAACCTGAAACTGTGACTACACTTTCTCACCTCCTCACTTTTGAAGTCGCGCTGGATTTCAATTTATTAACGTATATGCGTTATGAGTTTGTTGTGACAGTTCCTGCCGAAAGCCGAAACCACGAGCTGTGATTCGAGAATTAATCTGCATCTCTTCTCAGTGGTCGTTTTCTTCGGCTCCATTGCGATAAAAGACAACAGCAGTTTTACAAAGACTCTAATGTGAGCTTTGACTGATGCTGTCTGAAAGGTTTGTTTGGAAGTTATACAAGACGAGGGTTCAGATGTTTTGCACGGTGGCCCTGAGGTGCAAAACACAATGGTTAACGTCGTGTTTTCTCTTTTTGTGTTGTGTTTTGCACCTCAGGGGGTAGATTACATGTTACCATGACCTCTTTAAGGATCTTAAACCTCTAAGAAACTACAAGGAAGAGCTCTAAAGTGAGTTCTTCTGGATTTCAGTTAACTGTTTATTATCAGTTTAGGACCTACTCTTACAAATCTACTAAAACGTTTATTTGTAGAATTAAAATTTTGCCTCAAACACTAATAAAATGGGTAAAAATAGGTCCTTAAAGTTTTATTTTCTCTTCACCATACTGGTCCCTTTCATTTTGACTCTTTAACTAGTTCAGAAACAGACTGAAAGTCATTTCTATATTATTCTGAAACTGCAGGAGGGTTGGTGTTAGGGCTGGGGCTGTATTGATCAGTTCACCTCGATAACAATAAATGGACGATAACTACTTCACAAGCTGCTCACCCCCTCCCACATTAACTTCGTCTATTTCAGCCACTACAACTTTTGAACTGTCCTCCATCTCCTCACCTGTCTTTCCCTTTTTGTTACGGACTGGATGGGGTGGAGTCACGTCTCTGATGTAGGACAGCGTTTTAAAGGGACATGAGACCATAGCCTACCTACACACATCCAAAACCAACTTTGATTTATGTATTTTTTGACACTGAATATACCGATATGGACAAAATGACGTCAATTATTGTTGTAATTTTCGCTAACAGTACATTTTCAGTTCATCGCCCAGCCCTAAAAGTTAGCACAGGCCAATTTGCAACTAATGATGGATTCTCAGGCGGGAAAATGCATCAGATGTAGAGGAATGATGACTTTAAATGCAACTTAAACTGTGAAAAGTATCCCGAAGAATAAAGCTGTGATTTAATTCAGACAGGAAGTTGGACCTAAATTACAAAAGGTCTTCTCACCATACTGGTCCGATTCAATCTGACTCTTTAAGTGGTCCAGACACAGACTGAAAGTCATATCTATATAACCGTATTTTTCACACTATAGGGCGCACTTAAAATCCTTTTGGCTTGTCGGATCACTGCAGCTACCGTAGCCTCGCGGAGTTATTATATATGAAAATAGATGCGAATAGACGCATTCATTGATGGTGCGCCTTATAATCAGGTGTGCCTTATAGTGCGAAAAATACGGTATTCTGAAACTGCAAGAGGGTTTTGGTCAAACTGATACACCTACAGGGGGCGACAGAATTAACACAAACCCTAAATTCCTCACAGTAGCTTTAAGAAAGTGGCTAAAAAGTGTATTTCCAAGTGCATGATGGGATTTGAGTGTTTGCATGTGCATGAGTGTGTGAACGCTCTCTTCTGTTGCATATGTAATTACTGGATCATACGCATGTGTAAGCACATCTGTCTGCCACTTACTGTATCGTACGCGTTAATAGATCCTATCATGTGGTAAAGAGTCATAATACACTGAGTGCTTGTGTGTCTGTGTGTGTGTGTGTCTGTGTGAGTCCCAGTGGGTTGTTTTGGGAAGTGAAAAGGGTTGGAAAGCTGAGTGCTGAGTAAGCGGTGCAGGACCAGAGCTGGGAGACTGCAGTGCTGCTGGCAGCAACACACACACCGATCCGAGCTCAGACTGATACTCAGCAGAGGGGGGGAGGGGAGGAGAGGAAACTTTGAAAATATTCAAGGATATAAATTATTAGTGCGCGCCGTATTACACTCTTACCCTCGCATAATAAACACAGCTTCACAGGCATGAACATTTTCAACACCTGCTGCATGAAGACAAATATTCAAGGGTCGACACACATGCTTATAAAACACTCCTACATTTAAACTGCACATTACAGTTAAATGAGAGGTCCTGTATGTAAGATGTCTACAACAGGAACACACACGAGCACGCATACTGCAAGAGGCGAAGCCCACGCCCTGACAGACACACACTGCGTCACGGCGGACACTCAGAGCCAGCAGCCTTGTTTACTCCCTCTAACCTGTGTGCCACTTATTGTGCTAGAAAAGCCCTCATCTTCTCCTCCCGCCCACTCCCCCCCCCACCCGCTCACATCTCATCCCTCTGCCGTGCTGCCTCCCCATCCTCTGAGTCACCCTCTGCTGTTCGTTCGCCACCCCACCCCCTCTCCTCTCCTCACGTCCTTCCCTCGCCTTCCCTTCCCTCGCTGTCAGTCCTCTTCTTCCTCGCCTCATTATGAATGGCTCTGCAGGAATGTTTCTCACTCTCTTTAATTCTCTGTCTGTAATTTGTGTGCAGCCTCTTTCCTCCTTCCCCCTCCTCCCTCTCCATCCTTCTCTCAACACTCTAATGCATTGCCTCTGTTTTCACATACTTGTCATCGATACTATTGCGACTCTATGTATTAAAACAATCCAGCCCATGAATAATGACCCTCAAAGCCTGCAGCCCCTTGCTCGCCCCCCCCGCCTGTATATTTGATTATATAACTGTGTCCCTGTGGACCTTGAGGACACTGCAATCTAATTTTATCTGTTGATGTTGGAGGTGATGATAGGAGAGAGCATCAACTTGACATTTGAGGGAAATGTCTGTTTTATTTTTCTGGATAATTTCTGATTGAAAACATCAACAAATTTAGTCTGACCCAAAAACGGTCTGCAGCTCTTTATGTAACACATTTATCGGGGTAATAACATAACACGGAGGAGGATGAAGGTGCTTCTTTATTGAGTGAATCTTCATCGTTTCTGTGTGAGATGCAGATTCCTGTTTCAAAGCGGTCTGAGTGGCGAACAGGAGGACAGTAAACACACGACTGCCATTTTGGAGTCTCTCTGTGCGACCAACTCAGCAGCTCCCTCCAAGTTTTTCTGCTCTCCCAGAACACAACTATAAACAACCGAACCTCTGCAATGCTAAGTTTGCCAAACAGCCCCACACACTGGTCACAAACTGGAACTGCATCTGGCTGAAGTATAATTACACTGGAGAAGAAAGAGAGGCGCCTTCCTTCACACCACCTGGTTTTATATTCCCAGAGGATCCTGAGGTTTGCAGTTTAGACGACTTTTCTTTTTTAATCTCAAATATAAAAGATGTTAAAAAAATGTGTTTTAGTAATGACTTGTCCTCAGTCTGATAAAAAACTAACCCTGTCTTTAAGAAGCAGGATAAATACATGTCTGCCTTTATTACTGAAGAGAGAAACTCTCCTTATTTGACTCAACATCTGTCTGTGATCTCTGCTCCTTCATGTGAGGGCCAACAGAGGATAAAGACGGCTAATTAAGACTCGCACTAACGGGTCTGTACGTCAATTTAGTCTTTCATTTTTTAATAACGGAAGGATTTTTGTCTGAAGTGTCATTTCTGATTTATTCTTTTAATTTAATTCTTTTAAATAAATTATTTTATAATTCTTTCATTTTATCTGACAACTTATTTTATGACATCCGCGAACCTCTGTGTGTTTTTATTCTGTACTTTTAAAAGTTTAAATAAAATATTCAAAAAAAGACAAAAAAGAAAGAAAGAAAGGAAGGAAGGAAGAAGGAAAGACAAAGAAAGGAATCAAGGAAGGAAGAAAGGGAAAGCAAGAAAGAAAGAAAAAGAGAATGAATGAAGGAAAAAGAGAAAGAAGGAAAGAAAGGAAGAAGAAAGGGAAAAGAAAAAAGAAAGAAAGAAAGGAAGGAAGAAAGAAAGAAAGACAGAAGAGAAAGGAGGGGAGGAAGGAAGAAGGAAAGACAAAGAAAGGAATCAAGGAAGGAAGAAAGGGAAAGCAAGAAAGAAAGAAAAAGAGAATGAATGAAGGAAAAAGAGAAAGAAGGAAAGAAAGGAAGAAGAAAGGGAAAAGAAAAAAGAAAGAAAGAAAGGAAGGAAGAAAGAAAGAAAGACAGAAGAGAAAGGAGGGGAGGAAGGAAGGAAAAAAAAGAGAATGAATAAAAGAAAAAGAAAGAAAAAAGTAAAAAAAAGAAAGAAAGAGAGAATAAATGAAGGAAAAAGAGAAAGAAGGAAAGAAAGGAAGAAGAAAGGGAAAAGAAAAAAGAGAATAAATGAAAAAAAGGAAGAAATAAGAAAGAAAGAAGGAAAGAATGAATGACAAAAAAGGAAAAAGAGAAAAAGAATAAAAGAAAGACAAAGAGAATGAAAGAAAGAATAATGGCCGGAGAGAACAGAGGAAGAAAAATGGCAAAAAAAAAGAGAAAAATAGACAAAAACAAAGGAGAAAGAAAGACTGAATGAAAAAATAAAAAACAAGAAAGAAAAACAGAAAGAACTACGGATAGACAGATAGAAAACAGACTAAAAGAACAAAAGAAAGAAAAACAGAGGGAGCTGCTAAGTCGTGAAAAGTGAAGGAAATGATGCAAAACAGGAAGGAGAGAAAGAAAGCTCGTTTATGTAAATGATGAGCTCGCCTGAACTTGTCCGTCTAATTAATGAGAAAACTCAGCAAATAAGGAGCAGAAGCAGAGGAGGAGATGATGAAAGTAGAGGCAGAAAGAGAAAAGGAAAAGGAAAAGAAAGAAGAGGAAGAACAGGCAGCTCCTTTTGTCACTTCACTCACACTCTCCACGTCTCTCACTGCAGATCCAGACACTGCAGAGTCAGGGGAGGATTTTAACCAACTTTACGACTGCAGTACATACTCACACTTTCTGCTGTGCACTATCTTTGGACTTTGAGCAGGATAACTATCTAATAGAAGTGAAAACTAAATCAGTGCTTCTCAATTTAAGACAGTGAAATGGTTCTGGGTTGTGGGACACCTGCAGCCACTACTTGTTTATTTATGTGTAAAAATTGAATATTCAGATCATGTTCGAGTGTACAAAACAGATTTTTCCTCTGTCTTACAGTTGCCAAGAGACACACCGGTCCCTGCTGTGCATCGTGGATAGAAGGTGCTGATTGCTGTGTACCTGAGAGTTGGCTCTATTTTTAGTTGTTGTTGTTTTTGCATGCACATCTTTCGACATTGTAAGTCCTGAAACTACACAGCTGGACGACTGATAAAAGTTGATGTTAATCTGTGTTGATTGAGTCTCTCTCTGCCTAACCTCCTTTGAGTCTAGTCTGTGGTTTTCGGGGTCAGCTTCGACGTTTCCCTCTAGATGTTGTGGCTGAAAGGCATCATGAGGTCCTCAAAGTCGACCTCAAGGGACACGAGATCCTTCCGCCGATCCATCTTTGACATGAGCTGGCTGGTGGTTGGCGGTTTACCCCACATCTGAAAACAAATCCACAATAAGCCTCCGTCCGACAGGGTGAAAAAGAGACTGTTTAATATGGATTTGACAGAAGCGTGTAGAAGTGTCCTACTGTTTTTGGCACGAAGGTGATATCCACAGTGTTTGTTTTCCCAGCGGTGATCCTGGTGTTTTGCAGGATGACGCTATTTGAATCCTTCTGAGGAGAGGTCTTCCCTGCTGTTGTAACTGATGTCTCTGTGTGCAATGATGCTCCTGCAGCAACACCCTGAAGAGATTTTAGGAAAACCCTTAATTGTATTTTAATCAAGCTGTGCAGGGGAGCAGAACTGAGATTAGGAGAAATGCAAGAATCAACTTAGAGGATGCGGTAAAAATAAGTCGTACTGCACCCCCTTACACAAACACAAACACAAACACAAACACAAACACGTAGGCAAGAAGAAAGTGCAGCTCTGACAACACTCAGCATATCCACGACAGCAGGCCCCGTCAGCTCATTTCTCCCTGGAAGGATAATACCACCTCGTCCTATTTAAGGTGTTTGATATAAAAACACTAAAATGTCTTTTTATCTGAATTTTCCACATTCACAGCCGTACAGATGCCAGCAAATAGTTGTAGCTGGTAACCTTCCTGTTTTAGTTGTGAAAGTTGACAATGATTTTAAATTGGATCAACAAATCAACTCTGTCGTTAAATCCAGTTTTTATCATCTGAGGCTTTTAACCAAGATTAAATCGGTTTTATCTTTTAATGATTCATTCATGCTTTTTGGACTACTGTAACGCTCTTTACGTCGGTGTTAATCGGGCTTCCCTCGTACGCCAAAACGCTGCTGCTCGTCTTTTAACAGGTATTGAAAACATGATCACATCACTCCTATTCTGGCGTCCCTCCATTGGCTTCCCGTTTATTTTAAAATTAATTTTAAAATTTTATTGCTTTTTTAAAAATCTTTAAATGGATCAGCACCACAGAACATCTCTGACCTCTTAAATGTTCACATCCTCACACATTCCTTGAGGTCAGCTGATCAGTTCCAACTCGTGGTCCCAAAAACTTGTTCAAAAACCTGAACGAATTGCCACTCGAGATTAAAACATCCCCACTCTTTCTACTTTTAAATCACGTCTTAAAACTCATTTTGATCTCTGTCCTTATATGTCCTTTTATGGTCCTTTTAGCACTTTTATGCTTTTGTGTTTTTATTTCATTTTGAATGTTTTTTTTACCTGCTTTTATTTATTTCATCTTGATGTTTTCTGCAGTGTCTGTTCTTTTCATTTTATTGTGCAGCACTTTGGTAAACTTAAGTGTTTTTTTAAAATGTGCTGTATAAATAAAGCAGATTGGACTGGATTGGATAACCACTAAATCATCCGGCTGAAAAATGAAAACTCCGGACAGTTTGTTATCACGCAAAATCAATTTCTGTCATGCAAACACTGAAACTGTCTACTTTTACTGCTGGACATCTTACACAACTTATAGAATAATAACTACATTTTATTGATTATTTGTAAAACGCACATTTTTCAGGAAAATTACGACACTTAAAAGTTCAGTAACCAATCTGCGTCAAGATCATGTGCGTTGGCTTGCACAGTCTTGTGTCCTCTTGCTCAAATTAGCTTAACACTTGATGTTATTGTCTTTTCAGATTCTGATTTCAGGTTTGTAAAACATCTTATTCATCCCGTCATCACTGAATGAACAAGTCATAAATCATGCAGACAATTCTAAACTTAAACTGGAGGACTTCTGCATTATTCACAGTCCTAAATAACCTGATTGGACCATCAGTTTTCTGATCCTGAGCGAGTTTATCCGACCGTCATTCATTTTTCCACTGAAACTTTGTGTAATTTACTCTGTTCTCATTATTTCTACCTGCTGCTTTTGCTGAGATGTGAATATGATATCGTCTCAGTCCTAACCATAAAATCCATACTTGAGTCAGATTTAGTCCCTGCAGGAAATGAAAATTTAAGCAGCAGTGTGTTCTGGCTGTAATACAACACTTCTGGTCTAATTTGCCAACAAGTTGCTTCTCCGCCATGATCAGATCTCTTTACACGGTTAGGTTTCAAACACTGAAAGAGGAGCCAGAAGGAAATGGAAAAAAGGAACATGTTGGGATAAAACTTTTAGTCAAATGTTCATAAAGTTTATCCTGACATGATTTAATCGAACAGAGAGAGAGGAGAAAAAACTATATTTTTACCTCAAATAAAATAAAAAAACAAGGTTTTGCAGTCGGAAAGTTTTACTGAGTTTGTAGAGGGTGGTCAGAAGATTTTATTGTCGTTACTTGGATACCTTTGCTTTTGGCTTTTGAGCTTTGCCCCCCTTCCCCTTTGCCGTCTCCTTTGGTTTTGGGAGAGAACTCATTTTATCTCTGACCAGATCGATGACTCGGGAGTCTCTGAAAGCTTGAGCGATATCGAGGCAGTTTTGTTCTGAGGACGAAGAAAAACAGGCAAGGTTAGGGACGGCTCCGTCTCAATAAATGTCACAAATCTTCACCTGATATATTTATGTCTCACTGACCTTTCTTGTTCTCCGCTTTCACATTGGCGCCCGCCTTGATGAGGAAGTCCACGCAGGAGGGATGAGAGCTTTGGATGGCCCTCATGAGGGGCGTGCCTCCACTGAGGGTCTTGGCATCTACGGCGGCCCCTGCCTTCATGAGAAGCTCAATGATCTCCACTTGTCCAGCGTGAGCCGCGTGGTGGAGGGGCGTCCAGAAGAACTGGTCCCTCATGTTGACATCCGCCCTGTCGGACAGAACATCGTCGTACATTATTCGTATTTTGCTGAAATGGTTTTAAAAAGATTCGAGGATCTTTCTCACCCGCGACCGAGGAGATACTGAGCCACCTCGTAGTTCCCGCTGAGACAGGCCGCCATCAGTGGAGTTTTGTAATACTGGTCTTGAACATCCACAGGAACTCCCTGACTGAAAGCGAGGTTAAGGGTCTCCAGGTCTCCTTTTTTCACACTGTAGTTGATGTTGACGTATTCCTTTTCTGGCTTTTTCATGTACCACCCTGAATCGTTGATTATGGGATGTTCTGGTGGGTGGTCTCTGTCGAATCGACAGGGGTCTGAGCGGTCGCGGTAAGACTCGATCATAAAGTTGGGTGGGCCTCCATCCGGTCGTCGAGGCATGAGCTCTTCAGGACGTGTGCAGATAGGCATGGGGAGTTCGAATTTACCTCTTTTCTTGACACCTTTCCCTCCTTTTTCACCTTTCTTTTTCGGCACGTACGAGGAGTGGAGGAACGGTTTCTTGACGTACTTGACACCTTTGATAAAATCATTAATGCTGATGAGTCCCGCTTTTCCCTTGTCGTGAGCTGAAATGACGATATCAAGCTGCTCCGGATCAACTGGAGCTTTTAGATCCTCTAACACAGAAACGAACATGTGTGTGGGGACTATCGTCAATTCGTCTCTGCAGGTTTGCCGTAGTTCTGTCTCGTACTCGTGAGACCAGTCGTGAAGGTTTAGAGCCCACAGATCTGAAAGGGGGACGTCGCCGCTGGACTTTTGGCCTTTTCCCGGTTTCCTCTCGGCTTTTCTCAGCTCCTTAGTGGCCGCTTTGTGACCGGCGTCTTTGGCGATCTGACGTGGCAGCAAACCCTCCTGGTTTTTCAGTTTGGGGTTACAACCTCTTTGTGCGAGAAATTTGCAGCAGTTGGCGTTGCCCACAGCGGCGGCGTAATGTAGGGGTGTGCAGGCTTCGAGGTTGAGCACGCCCATGTCTGCTGAGTATGCTGACAGCGCCTGAATTGCCTGAGAGACACAAAGAGGAACGCATCGTTATGCTTATTCTTAATTTACAAACATCAAATAAGAATATCAAAAGGGATCACTCCAGATCTGGAAGGAGCATTTACTGTGACTTATACCAGGGGTGTCCTGATATAACTTTTTTTTACTTCAAATACGATACCAATATTGTAGCCTTCATTATCAGCCAATACCAATATTGATCTGATATTGGCACAACTTGTGCATGACAAGTTTTGCAATGTCTTTTTCGGACCTTAACGAAAAATACTGCCACACTGCCGACATCACTCTGACTCCTTGGTACTTTGTTCATACCTTAGTACACACTGTTGGTATGATCACGTGAGCTCTGCATGCTGAATCTGGGCCCTGCTCGCTAGAGGTGCCGGAGTGGAGTCTTGAATGGACTGTTTGTATTAGAGTGCTGATATCGGAGATTTTAAATGCAGGCCAATATAATCCAATATTTGTTTTTTGGCTGATATCAATATTGTATCAGAGCATTCCAATATCCAATATTAATATTGTATCGGAACATCCGATATCAATATCATATCGTATCAAGACATGTGATATCCAATATCAATATCATATCGGGACATCCAATATCAGTATTGTATCAGGACATCCGATATCGATATCATATTATATTGGGACATGTGATATCCAATATCAATATCGTATCGGGACATCCGATATCAATATGGTAGCGGGAGATCTGATATCCAATATCAATATTGTATCAGGACATCCGGTTTCGGATATCAATATCATATTGGGACATCCAATATCAACAGTGTATTGGGACATATCAACATCGTATCGGGACATCCGATATCAACCTCGTATTAGGACATCCGATAGCGGATATCAATTTTTTATTGGGACAGCCGATATCAATATTGCATCGGGACATCCCTAAGTAACATGTTAAAAAATTGAGCTAAAAATTGATCTTTTAGTCAGTACCTGAAATTCTGCACAGAGTGAACGCCCTTTGCTCTGACTATAACTCTGTATCGAAGGGTAAAAAAATGCACGGTGTATAAGCAGATTCATCACCTCAAAAAAGCCCCCTTGGGCGGCATAGTGCGCCGCTGTCATGCGTTTCAGGTCCAGGGCGTTGGGATTTCCACCTTTCCTCAGGATGGCTCTAACAAGTTTGAGCGAGCCGGCTTTAACCGCCTCCATCAACGCGGTGACACCAGTCGTCTGAAAAGTCAGAGCAGACAGAGAAAAATTTCAACAAACTGCATCAGCTGTATTTTTAGTGTTTTACTCAAAGGTTTCTCCACGTTTCATGACCCTGCCTGATTTGTTGCATTAGGGTCCGCCCCTTCGCTCAGCATTATGAGACACAGGAGGGTGCACTCCGCGGCTCTTTCACACATCAGCTGGAAGACATGACTCCCCTGCAGTGAGACGTTGTTGGCGTCTGCCTGGCACTTTAACGCCACCTGCAGGCAGCGAGCGTGGCGCTTGGTTGGGTAGATGCAGTAGAAGAGCACACCTGATGGGGAGGATATAAGCAGGAGTTATTCAGATAAAAACGTGTCGTGTTCAGGCGTCTCTTCAGGTCTGACTTAGACGCCCAGTTTTTAGGTATTAGTAGTGATGGGGGTCCTTGTCTTTTTGTGTTTGTGCTCCGTCAGATTTAATGTAGGAGAATATCTTTGTTGAAAGTATGATTTCTATGGGTACGTCACTGAGGGGTGTGGTTTTGGTATGTTTGGCGGGTTATTTAAATCTCACCGGTGTAGTCAGATAATGGGTTTCACTCATCCTGTTTTAACCTCATTTCATCATATCACCCTTTCATCTGAAGGCAAAAATTTTGGACCTGGATCAGCGTGTTTTCTTTCCCTTTTCGAACAATACATGACTTTTTAACAATCAAACCGGACTGATAATTCAACGAGTCGCACCTAAACCCCAGCGGCCTTTTTGTTGAAGGAAAGCAGTCACTACATTGACTACACCTCCTGTTTTAAAAGGGTTCATCTGATCTGGCTTGTCATCAATGATGCATCAAATCAAAATAATCTACTACATGGAAAGTGGAGAGTAAAATCTGCACCAAGCGGCTGAAGGAAACCGCCAAATACGGAGATTCATATTCCACATGAGACGCCACACTTTAATTAATGCATTAGATGGAGGACATGATACCAGCAGGTCTCTTTGCAGAGCATGTGCACAAAGCAAGTAGAGATGATCAAAATTCAGATTTAGATTTTTGCATGTAAAAAAACGCAGAAACAACACGCTCACCAGGTCCGCACAACTTCAACAGATGTCTTCAAAGCAAATGCCAATAATTGAAGAATATCTGCAGACTGATTTCATTACTTTAAGTGTGTGCTGTGCAGCTGCAGTTTTGAGGATCAGGATCAAGTTTCAGTATCAGCAGGCAGCTTTAAATGACTGCAATCATCCTCCTCCTTAGGCCTGATATAACCACGATCATATCAGTACAGTAAACAGAAGAACATCTCTGGTTTTGGAGGACTCTGAAGTAACGAGGATGAGGAAATGACATCTCTTTTCCGTGCCTGAAAACTGACAAACAGATGACGACTGACGCTGAGACGACAATGTAAAAGACTTGGCCGTGAGTGCTGAGACGTAGCTGAACCGGTCCTCGGGGGAGAGCAGGATCATATCAGGTTACTCAGCACAGGAGAGGACTGCCATTAGTGGTTGATCTGTAATTAGATGTACTGACGCTGCCTAACATGCATGCACACCAATAGACAACACGCTGCGCATACATTATACAAAAGCATGTATTTGTGCGTTAAAGCACACATGCAAATACTTTCCTGACCAATCTGACCTCTGTCTTCCCTCCTCCTTTGTCTCGTTCACTCCCTTTTGAACCGAGCGCCATTTGCTGTAATTGATTCCCCCCGGGGTTCGCTGTAATTAGGGTCATTATCACAATTGGTTTAAATTGGTTCTGAAGAACAAAGTTTGGTTTGGTGGTCGGAGTCGTCCAGGATACTGTCACCTCATCAATATGTAAACGGGACGCGGCATGCATTTTCATGAGCTGTAAGACAAGGCCGGGCATTCAGATCGAAACCTGCGGGTCTAACATGAGATGGAAAACACGTCTTCAGGAGAAATCAACACTTCGAGCTCCGATGAGAGAAGCTGTTCCATTACGCTGCTTACATATTTACACTATAGGTGCTTTTATAAGCTCATTTTGGAGCTTTTCCATCCTAATATTTGAGAAGAAAATATGATGCTCTTTATGTTTAGAATTAAAGGGATATTCCGGCGTAAAATTAATTTAGGGTCAAACACACCGTAACACTAAGTTAGACACCCAGCCAAGAGATGAATGTTGCCGACCGCTTGCTTCTCTAGTTATACCAACTTCAGTAACAACCGCAGGATAGCAATACACAACGGTCTGAGGAGCCATAAACAAACCTCAACCAAAACACCACTCTATAGCCATAAATAATGCTCAGAATAGCACTTAACTTCATGAACTGTACATCTTCATAAACATCTTTTTAACTTTGCCTGATTTCTTTAGCAAAGAGACTAAACACAACTCACCTACTCTCTTCCAGCAGCTGCCTGTTTGTAGCGAGACCTCAGGCCAGTCCATTATGTACTACAAAGGGGTGACGCAGCTCAAGGAAGAACATTTATGATCGTTTCTTTATCATTTCCTTGAAGAAATAATCATCATATTGATAATTTTGCACTGCAGACACCGTAGTTCTTCTGCCTTAGCATCTCGGTCTGATTGTATTTCCATGAAGAAATTATCATAAATGTTCTTCCTTGAGCTGCGTCACCCCGCTGTAGTCGATGGACTCGCCAAAGTTAAAAAGATGTTTGGTGGCTAGTCCTATGGCTGGGACCCTATATGTCCTGTTGATGAAGTTAGGTGCTGTTCTGAGCATTATATGTGGCTATAGAGTGGCGTTTTGGTTGACGTTTGTTTATGGCTCCTCAGACCGCTGTGTATTGCTATCGTGTGGTCATTACTAAAGTTGGTATAACTAGAAAAGCAAGCAGCCAGCAACATTCATCTCTCGAGGGGTTGTCTAACTCAGTGTTATGGTGTGTTTGACCTAAATTAATTTAATGCCGGAATATCCCTTTAATGCATATCATTAACATTCCCATCACTTTTAGCATTTTCTACCTTCAACTCGACCTGCAGATTTATCAGTTTTCCTCTCACATTTACTACCTCCGCTTCTTTCTGTATCTGCACCTCTTTTTCTAAAAATCATATGCAACTGTTGCTCAAATTTTAATGTTTGGGCCAATGCATTTTCCCCCCAAGATGCATAATACCTATTTTTTTTGTTCAGGTCTCTCTTGCAATTTCAAGGTCTCACTCACGCTAACCTGCGTGATCTAATTAAGTCCAGTTTCCCCCAAGCGTTCTGTTTTCCCAGAATCCAGAGTGTGCACAAACTGTACGGATCATGCTGCTGCTCACCTTTGCCCTCGGCGTCTTGGAGCCTCAGGTTGGCCTGTTTCTGGACCAGCAGTCTCATTATGTTGTCATTGCCCAACTCAGCTGCCAACATGGCAGCAGTGCGGCCCTTCTTGTCCTGGGTATCAGGGTGCGCTCCCTGGGAGAGGAGGAAGCTGACCAGGTCTGTAAGAGGTCAGGTAGAGTAAATGAAACAACATCCTCCAGTTACCAGTACATTTGAATATCAGGTTTACTATTAACATGCTTCAATTTGGATGGCTGTAATGATTGCCAGCTGCCTCCGGCAAATCTTGATTTCAGGAGGATCACGTTGCTACAGTAAGCAGTGAAGCATCTACTATATAATCGAGAACAGAAACGCTCCATCACCCTGATCGTTTGCCTGAACTGCCACGTGAAGCACTCCTACTCCGTCTTTCGGCTCAGTGAGGTTGATGAGGTTTTCCACCCCGAGGTTCACCATCTTCTCGATTTGCACCTTATCCCCCTCATGGACCCACTGCAGCAGGCGGTAGATCTGACGGACCTGCAAGTGGCCCTCTGCTTCTTCGCCACTCATTATGTGGTCAGATAAAACCTGATGGGAAAAAGAAAGTTGAGTGATTGTAGTGAGCCAATGACGTGACGGTTTTTTTCTTTTTGTTCCCATGGTTTACTTAAATTTAAAAAGGCTAAAATTCAAAAATAAACTCACTAAATTCTTGGATACATTCTCTTTTTGAAGACCTTGTCTAAAATTTCAAGATTTATCCATTTTGAGAGAATATTCAGAGAAAATGTCAATGTGGTGTAACCATAAAAAAATATAATATTTGAGAAAATGTATGGGGAATGGAATGTACTCCTCTATTGAAATGCACTTACATAAATCTGAACAGTTTCTACATGATTTGTCAAATGTTATCTCGAAAAAAGAGCAATACGAATTATTAGAAGAAGTCATTACAGAGGTCCTTCAAACCCATTATTGGTTAAATTGCAGTTGTTGAAATTCAGTGAGTTAGTAGATTTCAGTATGTTGCATTTTATGTATTAAGCTCATAGGAAAATTTTACCAGTCAACATCCAGAGCCAATTTTTTTTACAAAAAAAAATTATGATATATTATGATGAAGTAACTTTTTATAAGTACACTTGCATACACTATAGGTGGAAATAAGTATTAAATATTTCCCCTTTTGTTGTGGTTACACCACTAGACATTTTCAAGGGAAATCCATCATTTATTTTGAAAAAAAAAAGGTTTAAATACTATTTGAAATTATATGAAACCAACTTTGCAAACCTAATGCAAACTTTTAAAACAATTCATTAAAACATTGTTGAATTACTCATGATGCAAACCCTAATGTTTTTTGATTTGACACATAAATGCGTGAGGAGCCAAAATTATGAGCAAGGATATAATAAGAGAAAAACTATATCTAAGAGAGACAGACTCTGACAACTTAGCTCTACATGTGTAACACAAATTAAACAAACATTTACCCTCTTTTTCGTCTGTTTTGACTCATTAAGTCACTTTTTAAGTTTTTACTATGACTGTTCTCAAACTTTTGACCATTTTTGACCCATTACACCTTCAAAAGGACAAATTAAATCTGAAAAACTCGCCAAATTTAACTCAGGATACCTCAGTATCTCAAACTAATCTCACCCACCTGTACTCTCAGGTTGAGGGGGTTACACGCCGTTTCCTCAGTTAGCGTCCTGGAAAAACAATAAAACTTCTCACTTCCTCGTTCACAACGTCTGAACGGCTGAACAACGAGGATTGTAACGCCTATCCTTTCCTTCTCGGTGTCTTAACTTCATTTTTAAAGCACGACTTTTCACTGTTTGAGCAGCAGGAAGGAAACAAACTCAGCTCCATGGCAACAGAACGCGCGAAAACTCGAAGGACCTTCTGAGCTTTGCTGCTTCCTGGTGCTGCTTTCAGGTGCTGCCCGTTAATTACAGTTTACCTATCAAAACAAAGGCGCAGCAATGTCAGATCTGCAATTATACAATGTACTTTATATCAGAGTAAAATACACTCCAAATTACATCAATTTAAACTACAAAAAGCAAAAGCGTTTTATTTGTCGATTTCTGTTTCCACTCAGTAAGAGCTAATGTAACGAGGCTACATTAAAAGCAACAAGAAATCTTCCAAGTGTTGAACCAAATTAGCGTTGTGTCGTTCGCGAACGGTTCGTTCAAATGAACTGAATCTTTTGAGTGAACATACTGAACCGAGTCACTTCCTAAAATGATTCATGATTCAATGATTCATTTCAATTGTTGGTATAGTCTGAACTTTAACAGCCCTTAGACCCCTCGTCCTCACAGAATCCACTGTATAGCAGACTGCCAGCATAAATAAGTATCCTACTTTACATGCTGTTTTCCCATGCGTCCTTAAATCTTTAAGTACCATAGGTAGAATTACCGATTCTTAGGCCTTGACCGCCACTGCAGAGATCAACTTACATGGTCTTGAGAAGGACTTTGTATGAGTGACAGGGTTAGTGGTAGCTAAAGAGAGCAAAGGTGCTTAAATGGAGACCCTAATCTCCCTTTTAAGAGGTATTGCACAAAGATTAGAAGAAGGCCTACTCTTTACTCCCATTCTTAATAAAAGTCTTGAGGTTGTTCAGCAGCAATATCACAGCTACTGACCACAAGGTGTCAGTGCAGCGCAGCAAAAGAAGTGGCTAACCTCCTGAAGTCTCCAGTTAAAATTAACTCAGTAAAGATAACAGAAAACAATCATCATTAAACCAGACTCAAGACAACAGCTGTGTAAAACTTGATTTCTGTATTTGAGGCATACTCGTGGCAAATCATATAAAACATATACAGTACCTGGCAAGGTAAGTGGTAACTCATACAAACTTTAAAAGGGAATATTTACATTCCTTCACTGTTATACAATGCATAAAAAACATACAAAAATACAGTTGCACACCTAACATAGAAATGTGAAAAACCTATGCCTTGTAAAATTAACTTAATTTGCTGGTACTTGAATCACCGCCACAATAGTGTGTATAACACAATATGTGGACCATTCACTGTATCATCTCTGGATATACTGTGCAAGTTCCTTTTAAAACCTTTACTATAATATCTACAAGCTCATGCACACATCTCCTCCAGAGACATGTTAAACTTCTGAGGGCAGGAGGTGTGTGTTAAATCATGTGAGAGGTAGGATATCTAAAAGGAGGAAAAGGGGAGGTCTAGCTTCATCATCTTCTATTTTTAGCTCTATATAAAAGTTCCACTGTAAGATGGACTGATAGTAACAGTTCATAACCTCAAGTACTTAATCCTCCAGAAGTTTACTTGTCCCTTATTAGGACAGAGAAAAAATATCCCCATTCTTCCTCATGACCATCCTCCAGCCCGCCTTGTGTTTCTGGGCAGAGCTAATGTCCTAAAATGGTCTTATTATTTTGCTGTCGTATGATTTATAAAATCCTGTGGTTTCTCGACTGAGCCATCGCTGACTTCATTTGAGCATTTCCTTCTAAAGAATAGTGGTTTGGACTGTGACCCCTCCACCTACATCACTGATTTTTCCAAGACACTTGGCATCCAGCTGACTGTTTCTGGGAAATTCGCTTGTGGTCAAAGTGAAACAATGAGCATGAAGAAATGAAACTTCATCAGGTCCAAAAAAACTGAGTGTACAATAACCTTTGAAAACTTGATGTGCTGTGGATTGAGTGTACAAAATCTGAAAACCCACATCCTTAAACTTAACCGCCTTACATAATTTCCTTCAGTTGAAACACGGAATAAAAGTCATCTGATGAAATAAGTGAGGAATTCAAGTTAATAGCACAGCGTGGAATAATACGACAAACCTGCAGTGGCTTTTTGAAATCAAAAATATGAACTGGAAAAAATGGCTTTTTGCAGAATTTCTTTTAAAGCTGTTAAAAAGTTTTGTGTATGAAAAGGATTTTCCCTTCCTCATAGGCACATACAGTAAAATATAAAATATATATATCTCTATGCTGAATGAATCAGTCCAGTTATTCCAGTCTTCTTGACTGTCCGGCCAGTGTCGGCCAACACTCTCTGATAAAAGAGAGACTGATAACAACGAGACATCATCCAATCAGATGTTCTCGTACAGCAGCATCCCACTGAAGATGGTCAAGGGTTCGGAGGAGTAGGCCAGCTTCCCGGTGACGAGGTCGATACAGACCGTGTCCCCCACCTCCATGGGCAGGATGATGTTAAAGACAGCAACAGCTCCGGGGATGTGTTTCGCCTCTGCCATTGGTTTCTCCAGACCTTCAGGCTGATACCCTGCAGAGTCCACGCGGGCCACGCCTGTGTTGGACTTGGACAACACCGCCTCGATCTTCATGTTCTTGTGGCCTGTAAGGATGCCGCTGAAAAAGTACTTCCCTCTGACTGGAGCGGTGAAATAACCTGGATGACAGAAGCAAAGGGTAAGTTTTTTGTCTGCTCAAAATTGTAGAGGTCACGATAAGCTGAGCCTGCTTTGTCCACAGGGGGCGCCAAAACTGACCCAAACCAAAAGTTCCTTACAAGAGCTTTAATCTTTATTTATCCAAGGAGAGCTTAGTTAGGGTGACCACATTCTGAATCCCCAAAAAGAGGACACGACGACGCAGGGGTGGAGTCAAAGAGTCGCGCATAGTTAATTTTGAGTGTTTTTCGGGTCGGATCGAGTGTCAAAACTCAAAACTTCCATACAAACCCCGGACATTTGAAGGATTTTATAAACTTCCTTGAACAAGGCCGGACAGCCTCAGAAAAAGAGGACATGTCTGGGTAAAAGAGGACGTATGGTCACTCTAGTTTAGTGGGATTAAAAACAACCTTTTTTTTTCCAATAGTCATCTTAAAATAAGAAAGGCTATAAAATAAAAGAATTTAATAATAATAATAAACAAGAAACAACAAGACATAAAAATCAACAAAAAGTACACTAGTAGCTAAAGTCCTAGTTATACAAAGGCAAGTGCAAACAAATGGGCTTTCAACCCCTGATGAGATCTCACCTGTTTTGGGGTTGTAGACGTTGTCCTCATTGACGAAAACACTGTTGAACACTATAGTACCTGCGCTTCTCATTGGACGAGTCAGCGCGGCGGAGAAAGAAAGGCGTGGCACGTGGGCATCAGACCCTGCAGGACCTGATCGGAGACGAGAGGTGGAACATAAGAGTGAATGTGAGATTTCAACAAAAGAAGAAAAAAGCTTCAATTGTCTGTTTAATACGAATAACACTGACCTTCTTCACCTCGAAGACCTGAAAGTGAGAGAAAGGATAAAAATGAATCATCAAACATTACAACTTTGGCAATTCTGATGAGTCAGATCGAATTATCTTTACCTGGAGGTCCAGTCACTCCCTGCTTGCCCTCTCTACCTGGGGGTCCCACCCTCCCTTGGGGTCCAACAGGCCCCTGGAGTCCACGCTCACCTCTCTCTCCACGTGGGCCAGGAAGACCAGGTGGACCTGAATCCAAAAATATCTTCGATGAGATATCACAGCTGTAATAGGATCTCTGGGGAGTTTCTCGAAAGCATGCACAGTCAGCCAAGACAGCTAAAACTTTTTATCTGCTGTGACTTGTGATTTTCCTTTCACCCTCATGTTTACTTAAACTCCCTTTTGCAGACTTAATAGTCTCCCTAAGTCAGTACTTAGTCAGAAATAGTTAGAAATACAGTCGGATTCCTCATTTGGTCTATTTTTTTCCTGATCTTAACTCCCTTTAAAGGGATATTCCGTCGTAAAATTAAGTTACAGTCAAACACACCAACGCCAAGTGTGGGTGTCCAACTTGGTATTACTGTGTGTTTGACCCTAACTTAATTTTACGCTGGAATATCCCTTTAACTCCCTTTAACTGAGAATCTGAAGGACGAATCCCATTCCCTCAGTCTTCAATGACTCACCCATGAAGTCCTGCTCTACAAAACTGTGGAACTCCTCGCTCAAGTCCAACACTGAGGCGTTCAGTCCTCGTATGTCGGAGTGGATGTTCTCCAGCTGGACGTTCTGGATATTGTCGATAAGATCTCCGTGGGATATCACGGTGACATTGAGTCCATTAACGCAGTTCCACAGTCCTGACACATGTCTGTTCAGGCCTTCCTTAATCCTCTCCAGAGTGTCTGAAAAAGAGTCAAAGCGTCCGCACACTCCTTCGAGCTTCGACAGCCTCCGGTCCAGACCATCACTAGACCGCCGGCAGTCCCCGATCTCCGTCAGAAAGTTGCTTCTTATTACGTGGATCTCTCTGCCCAGACCGTCGACCCTAATCTTGCAGTCATCGACGTGCTCTGTCAGCTCCTTCTGCAAATTGTCCACCTTGTAGAGAATGTGGACCTTGTTAATGTGTGTATTTTGGAAAGGTTTCTTCAGAAAACATTCCAGCATAAATAAACTCTTTTCCACCTTTACTCTGATTTATTTTCATATGGTATCTTACACACACAAAAATATGTAAGCATATAATCTAAACCATGTCTGTCAAGAACTTAAATGTTTTTAATATGTTCAAATATTTTTCTAACTACAATAATATTTGACAGAAAGGTTACCGCCAAGATAACCGCAGAGAATGTTTGATTGAAGTTCACGACGGAAATTTATGTTTTTGTTTGTACAGTTCAATAAAACGGCAAAAACATAATTTTCTAAATTACCAGCACATTTGTAATAACAAAGCCGGACATGTTTAGTTCAGGGAGTTAAACATCTCATTGTGCAGAGAGCTTCTCAGCACCAGTCCTGAGAACTACATAGGCTAGGGGAAACGCTGATAAACAGGAAAGTTTGAGAAATAATAGATGATAGATGAGGAAGATTATTTCATTACACACTGCAAGAACAAAGTCAAAACGTTGAGAAAAAAATGTGAAATTCGACTTAAAGAGAAAAAGTCAGCGGTTGCTCCAAGGTGACGTCAACTCCTTTTAAAATTGTTCCCAGGTTAGCTGCTGCATCTCTTATGATCAAGATGCTGTAGGGCTGACAGAACAGAGTCAAAATAGACCCTCATTCGTATTTTTTAAATGTCTTCTATGTGGTGGGAGAGAAAAGAGATCGCAGAAGTAGATTTTTCCACTTGCTTTGTTGGGTGACTGAATGGAAACTTCTCGTAAGTTCCCTGAGGTTAGCAAAAAGCTATGGGCTGATCTGCTGGTTACTGATGCATCTTAAACTGGTATGAGAAATAATGTTGAGGACACATTCAAACATGACATCGTAAACAGCCACAGTAACTGTCTCTACACACCAAGCGCGAGTTAAATCATTCGCGCGAATGAATTACATGTTAAGTCAATGCAAAGACGCGATTAGACGCTCATACTACTTTGGCGCACAAATGACGCAAATTGGGCGGGAGCTGAAAATGTCTCAAGTTGAGCGGATATTCAAGTCGCAATAATCAATCAGCACTAAGGTTGCCGGGTGACATATGAAATTGCCATTGAAATTACAGTTGACCCGTGAATGAAGCGAGTAAATACTATTCATTCCCGCGTCAAGATTCGCGCAAATCAACTGAGTAGATGATTTCACTCATGCTTGGTGTGAGCGCCCTGTTAGATAATGTGGTTGTTGATTGTTTCTTTCATGTGTACGGCTTAATCGAACTAAACAGGCCCAAGCGTTCTGCGCAGGCTCCAGTGTTCGCACGCTAACGCCAGGATTCCACAGCATGCAGATCCGCTACGCTATGATCCGGAGTGGCAGCCAGATCCGATCCGCTGCTGCAAGTGGAGGAGAAGCGCTCGCGATGTTACCGATATTTCTCACGAGATTGGACGAGTGTTTTACCGTGAGACTTTGAATGAGATTGGCGTTGTATATAAACACCTGCATCCCACAACCCTGGCCCCTCCCATTATCACGTGAAGAACAGTTCAAATTAGCCTGATATTTTACTCTGTAGCGGCATACGACTTGCGCTTGTGCTGCGCTTGCGTAACTGATCCGACCACCAGAGCGGTTCCGCAATGGAGGTGAACGGATTGTGTGGAACCACGCACATTGATTATAATGCTTGCGTTAATTTATCAGGCTGCCATTCCGGAGCAGGGCGCAGCCGTTCGGTATCCTATGGAATTTAGCCACAAGCTTTGCTAGAAAGCGTGGTAGTAAACAAAACATCCACAGTCAAAGGGGGACGTAAATAAAGATGAACTTGATGAGTAAAAGTGACGTATAGATAATCATACCATAATTACATTTTATTTCCAAAATATTCACTCAACTCTTCACTGCGTCATCTTACCTTTGAGTTAATGCTGTCCTTTGAGTTTGTCAGGTCAGTCAGCGTGTTGCCGTGCCTCTGTAAAGTCCTCCCCACACCTTTCAGGGTGTCATTGATGGAGTTAAACTTATTGACGACTCCGGCCAGCTCCCCTTGGATGGACTTCAGATCTCCACCCAACCTCCCGGTATGGACACCATGGCCGTCCAGGCGTTTCTTCAGATCGTTTATGTTGATTTTACACTGTCCCGTACACTCCTCCACCTCCTCTCGGAGTCGCCCGACCTCCTCCTGAAGGTTAGAGCACACCTGAGAGCAGACGGATTCTCCCGAGTCCACCTTCCTGCGCAGATCTGTTAGTTCTGTCTGGCACTTGCTGAGACCGACGTTGGTGGAGTTGATGAGCGAGCGTAAGTCCTTCTCTATACTGCTGCATAAATGACAGTCCTCTAAATCTCGGCCAAGTGTTTCAACGTCTGTGATGATTTGGTTGACATTTTCCCCGTCCTCTCCTGTTATTTCTTTTATCTTTTTGACGTCATTTGTCAAGTTGATGATCCTGTCAATCAGAGAGTCTCCTGAAACCGACAAATCTTTTAACCTCGTGTTGAACTTTTGGATCTCCTCTTCATTTGCCACAACTCTCCACTGTAAAGTTTTCACCGTGTCCTCGGTCTTACGGCCTTTTCCGTTCGGCCCGCAGGTTTCATTGCACATCTTCGTGGTCGACGTTAGCCGTCTATCCATGAAGGTTGTTATGTTCTCCAACTGACTTAAACGCCGACTGTGGTCTGTGACTGTATCCCCAAGTACAGCCACGTCCAGCTCTATCTTCCCGATCCTGTAGCCATGGTCGTCCAGCCGGCTGACGACCATGTTGCGCAGCTGTGTGATGTCTCTCTGGACGCTGTCCTTGACGTTGTTCCCAGTGTTCGTACACCTCTGCTCCGTCTTCCTCACCGTGTTGTTCACCCTCTTCTCCAGCTCTCTAAGTTTGCCGTTTAGCCTGTCCTCTGAGACTCTTCCCTTTCCTCCGCCGGTCCCAGCCAGCTCCTTATCCAGCCGGCCTTTGATGGTGTCACATTTACTGGCCGTGCTGGTGACACGGACCTCCACATCCGCCAACCTCTTCTCCAGCTCGGTGACGGTGCTGCAGCAGGTCTGGAAGCGCTGGGTTTCGCTACGGGAAATGTCCAGGCTCTGCCTCAGGTGCTGGTCCATGGAGCCGATCAGTTTCTCCAGGGCTTGGATCCGGTCCCTGTTCTCTTGCTGCTGGCGCCTCAGGTCCTCCACGCCAGCCTGAAAGAGACAGGACGGTTAGCATTTGACAATGCCAATGGTTTAATTTTAAAGAAGGTTGAATTAGACTCACTTTGTATCTTAGAAATGCCCGCTGTATACCTCCAGATCTATATGAGCCAAATTGAGCTTTATAAATGCTGATGCCACAATTAATTTTGGAGATTTGCGTCAGTGTGCGGTTAAAAAAATAATTTTCCCATCTTTTATTTACTTTTCTGTTTATTTTGTTTATTTCTCCCACTCTTTCTACTTTTAAATCACATCTTAAAACTCATTTTTACTCTTTGTCCTTTTATGGTCCTTCTATTACTTTTATTTGTTTTACGCTTTTGTGTTTTATTTTATTTATATTATTTCATTTTAAATGTTTTTATTGCTTTTATTTATTTCCTCTCTGGATTGCATTGGATTATTTCCTCTTCATGTTTTTTTATTTTTTTTTATTTCTTTCTTTTAATTTTATCGTGCAACGCTTTGGTAAACTTGAATGTTTTTTAAATGTGCTATATAAATAAAGCAGATTGGATTGGATTATTTGGTTGGATGTTATTTGACTGGTTTCTGGTTTGGTGTTTTATTTTATTTTCTTTTGGCTTTTATTTTGAAGTCAGGTTTCTTGCACACCTGACAGGAAACAGGAAATAAATGGGAAATGCTGGCAGGTAGGTACAGAAGGTGTGCAAGATGCTGATGGACACCAGCTGGATCTGGGAATAAGGTATTATTTTTCTTCGCTTTTATGGGATTGTGTTGTGTTTAATTCAAGAAATGATGTTTTGGTCTGTTGAGGGAACTAAAGAGGGTATTTTATTTTTAGGTAGCCATGTTAGCTGCTAGCCTAGCTTGATTTAACCTTTTAGAAGGATGACCACCCATCCTCTTTTACCCGGACATGTCCCCTTTTGGGGGGGCTGTCTGTCCTGTCTAGCCTTGTCTGGGGAAGTTTATAAAATCCTTAAAATGTCCAAGGTTTTGTATGGAAGTTTTGAGTTTGTGTTGCGTGGACTCAATCCGATCCGAAAAACTCTCAAAATTAACTATGTGTGACTCCTTGACTCCTCCCCCGCTTAGTTGTGTCCTATTTTTGGGGATTCAGAATATGGTCCCCCTAAATTTAGTATTTTGGAGTAAAATTTAAGACGTATGAGGGATTGTTCTTTCAGAAGTGACTTGTCCATTTACCATATTTGACCAACTTTATCTTGTCCTAGTTGATCCGCTTGGTTTCCTCTCTGTGTTTGGAGGATAGCATACATGTGCGGCATTTTTCCTTTGTTTATGCAGTGGTTTATAGAGGAATGTAATTTCTTTTAAACCTGCCTGCAGGTGGCTGATGCTTCTCTATGACTTTATAGCAGAAATCACTTACAAAAGACGATGCAGAACAAAGTAAATACATTTTATAGCAACACAAAATACGACTCCAGATAAAACATTATGACATTCACAAATGCCCAGAACAAAGAGGAGTAATGTTCGTGCCCGAGGCCTGCAGATCTGATTTGTACACGCTGAGCCTTACTTGGCAGGAGGAGCAGGACAGAGACACTCTTCTCTCCAGCTCTGTCAGTATCTCCTCCTTCAGCGTGTTCAGCTGGTTTCCTCCGTATCCTCCAACTCTGGCTATTCCGTCCAGCTCGTTGCCCCCTCCGTTCACAAGGTGGTTGATGGTTAGAAGAGTCTGATCATGGACCTGGAGAACAGAGTGTTCACTTTAAGTATTAAAAATATATCTTTGCATTTAAAACTTCTTATCAAGGAAGGATGAGGAGTTAACCTGTGTTCTGTTGTAGAGGTGGTCCAGTTTGGTCTGGATGCTGTTGATGGTTTCCTTCATATGTGGCTGAGCTGAATCAGCAGGAACGATGGCCCCGTTTAGACCAGGCCTACAAAAAACAAAGTTATAAGACATTTTCAAATCTAGACAACTTCATCTAAAAAGTACCAAATGGTACGGGGAAATGGGTGTGAAGAGGATGGGAGGATTCAAAACATTTTCATCCAAACTTTCTTGACTCTGTAGAAGCAGCTAAACACAAACAGAGAGTTCATGTTTGTGTAGGTCCACGTTAAGCTATCTAAAAGATGCACTTATTTGTGCCTGTCACAAATCTCTTAAATTAAAAAAACAGACTGTCCTAAAATGTTTCAGAGTGTCCCTCATTTCCCCCACAAATCCAGCAACTAGCAAGTTTAATTTGATTAAAAAACAGGTTTTGCACTGTAAATTATTTGGTTCTTACCAAGACAAAAAAAATTTGATTTAGAAATGTTAGATAATTTCTCTTCTTTTAAGACTTAATTTCTATATATTTCACTCATTTTGAAGCTGTAAAAAAAGTTAGTTTTTAAGTAATCAGATTTTTAAACCAGCATTTTCTCTTTACCTTATTCTTCCATTTAGTACACTTCACTTATTTAAGGGCTGTAAAAGTGAAATTTTAAGTTATCTGATCTTGAAACCAGCATTTGATACTTACTTTATGCTTATATTTAGTGTAAATAACTTACTTTTAGGACTGTAAAAGTTAATTTTTTCATAATCTGATTTTAAAACCAGCATTTTCTCCTTACTTTATACTTAAATTTAGTACATTTAACTTATTTTATAGCTGTAAAAGTTAAATTTCAAGTAATTTGATCTTAAAACCAGCATTTTATTCTTATTTTACACTTAAATTTAGTACATTTAACTTATTTTATGGCTGTAAAAGTTAAATTTCAAGTAATCTGATCTTAAAACCAGCATTTTTGGCTTACAAAAAAAGCCTTTCAAATACATCTGTAGACATGCTTATTTCTGGATGTAACTATCGTAATTTAAGATTGTCATTATCTTGCTGCATGGACGGATAATTTCACTTGTTTTTAGTACCTTTACCCTCAGATTTAGTGTTTTTATCTTGTTTTTAGAGCCCCCTTTTCTGCAGTGTGCTTTGTGTACTGGAACTTGTTTGTGCAGCATTTACGTACAGCCTCTGGTTCATGCCCTGGATGGTGTTTTGCATGTTGTGAAGGTCTTTGGTTAGACCGCGGATTGTTTCCTCCAGCTGTCTGATCTTCTGAGAGTCACCTGAAAAAAGATAATTATAATTTAAGTATTTTTTTTTTTACAGTTATATTGTGTTAAGTTACATATAACGGGTCAGATTAAAGTTAATTAAATGACACTTGTATGTAATTTATCATGTAACTGTCCTTTAATCTTGGTTGAGTCATTTTCCACTCAGTTTGCATTTCACACACCTTCTCCTCTCTGCCCTCCGTTGGGTCGACCTCCATTGACTTGAGTATCCGGGTTCCCCCTCGGCCCGTCTTGGCAGTCTTCGCCCGAGTAACCGTGGCAACACTTCCACTCCATCTCTGTCACCATCTTATAAGCCACCTTGTACCTCGGCCGTCTGTACGTTCTGTAGCTGCGGATGACACAGACACCGTTTTATTGTATTTGACTGTTTTAAATGTGCAGTAAAAACCTGATAACCCAAACACGCCGCTGTACTAGTCAGATTTTCCACGCCGTGTACTTGAACGCATCTTAAAGAGATTTACAACTATGTCTTAAACAGAGGTGGAAGCTTAAAACCTTGGATCATGTTGCAGAAAAGCGCTATTTCGCTTTTCTTTCCTTTAGAAGGACAAGGATTCAGTCTTTCTATCTTTAAATTTAGAGTTTTTGTTGATCTTCATGACCGCCGAATCATCCTGTCTTTATCGATAGATGATTGAACGCTTTAAAGGTGAGTCTAAGTGCTAAATCTTTACTTACTCAAACAGCAAACACATTGTATATGTATTGTAATTTACTGTGTCACAGCCCTACAGCTGTTAAGACTTACTGTTCGAGCAATAATGCAATAAATAGACCAGAAATTGGCTGAAGTCTCAATAAAGATTTATGGCAGCGTCACGGGCACATTAATAGGCCTCAACTGTGGAAGTTTTAGCACGTTTCTTTACACTCTGCCAGCCCACAAATGTTTCTGTAGGTATCACAAGGCCCTTTTCTGTGCCACAGAGAGGGTTTCATCCTCCAGCGCGCCGCTTTGAGAGCGTGAGAAAAAGGAATCCGACGTCCTCGCAGAGGAAAAACAAAAACAGGGCTCGAATAGATGGCTGTGGGAGGAGTTTGTCGAGTAAGGGAGAGAGTAAGAAGGGAGGAGGGTTATAAAAGAAAGAAAGAAAGAAAGAGAGTAAGAAGAAGAAGAAGAAATTGTTTTTACAGGACAGGAGACCAGACTGTGGTGCCTGGAACCCCTGTCGGCTTCATTCTTAGCATAACCCAGGTTTAGGCCAAGGCCTCTAGCAGGCATGGGGATCAAGCAAACCAGGCCAGTGTCAAAAGACCAGAATTTGATTTATGGGGAAAATAAGCAACTATGAAGCTGTCTTTACATCTTTACGGATGATTTAAAGACGCCACAGCCTCACCAGACTCTCAGAAACGAACAAATCTCTATGTTTAAGATACAGAAGGAAAAATCAGAGGAGCTAAAAAACACCCAAGATGAGACAGATACTCACGCAACTCTAGGACATTGGCCCCAAGTACATCGTTGGTAGTCTGGTTTGACGTATGTCTCCACTCCGTCCTCCATCACACAGCTAACAGTGCGTGTCACCACGTAGGCGCACCAGTTCCTGTAAAATAACACAGATGGCGAATGACCCGAAAACTCTGTTAAGATAGCAGAAAGTTTACAACAAACCCTTTTGACACAAACATTCACCCGGTGCTGCTGCTGCTCTTTGTTTCCAGGCTGGAAAAGTAATAAACTACAATCTTGTCACTTGTTTGACTTTTGGGCTCCATTGTGAGGCTGCAGATACATATCTCAACCTCCGGACTGATTATTTTTCTGTTCAACTTTCAAGAGAAATTGTTCCCCCGCACAAATGTCAGATCTGTTCAGGATAACTGCAGGATTTCAACAATGGCTGCCATTGTACGCCTCCCAAACCAACCCACAGAAACACACACATTTTCTCACATGTCTTTGTCGGGTTTATTCTGCATATCTATGAGAAAAATCCACCAACAGTCACTTTAATACTCCAAACAGCATCATATTGAGGGGGAAAAATTCTTGCCGAAGATTTGTGTAACTCCATGTTAATCTTAAACTATTTGCATTAGTTTACAGGAAATGAAATAAAGGAGTGAACGTGGAGTTGGCCTCTGGGATAAAGAAATAACTGATGTTTTGGGATGTCTCTTTGCGCTGAGATGAGAAGATTCGTATCTGTTTCAGGTCTCTGTGTGTTAAGACAATGCAGTCCTCCTAACTGAAGCGCTTACTTGCCTGTTCTCTATAATACTGCACCATATTAATAGCTGTTCAATAAAAGAGATTAGGGCAAACTAATCCAAGAATCCACTGGTTAATTTCTGAATAAACCTGTGATATAACCCTTGATCAAAAACCAGATTTTTGGACCCGGATGAAGGACTTTTGGTCAAGAATTCCTGCACTACATTTAACTGTTTAGAGAAAAGTCGAATGAATCAGTTTAGACATTAAATTAAAGCTACATTAGCATCATAAGACTGATCTGTTCCTGTGCATTGCAGAGGTCTTATTCCAAGCCCAACATGGTCTAGGTAGATGACTGCTTTACATCAGTCTGGTTCTGCTCGAGGTTTCTGCCTCTTAAAAGGAAGTTTTCTCCTTTTAGATAAATCTGTTAGTCAGAGCTGGTTCAGCTTCCAGCATCACTCTCTCTCCTCTCATCTCTAAACCTAATGCTGTAGCGGAAGATGACTGCAACACATGAGTCTGGTTCTGCTCGAGGTTTCTGACTCTCTAAAAATGAAGTTTTTCCTTTTTGATAAATCTTAAGAGTAAGAGCAGCTTCAACTTTGTGTGTCACTCTCTCCTCTGTCCATCTCTCTGTCTCTTCTTTAAACCTAATGTAGTAGAGGCAGATGGCTGCAACACATAAGTCTGGTTCTGTCTGAGGTTTCTGCCTCTTAAAAAGAAGTTTTTCCTTTTTGATAAATCTTACAGTCAGAGCTGCTTCAACTTCCTGCTTCACTCTCTCCTCTGTCCATCTCCCTCTATCTCTTCTCTAAACCTAATGTAGTAGCGGCAGATAACTGTCTAACATGAGTCAGGTTCAGCTCAAGGTTTCTGCCTCTTAAAGAAAGTTTTCCCTTTTTTGATAAATCTTAGTCAGAATTGGTTCAACTTCCTGTGTCACTATGTCTTCTGCCCATGTCCCTCTCAACCTAATGAAATAGCAACAGATGACTGTTATATATTAGTCTGGTTCTGCTCAAGGCTTCTGCCTCTATAAAAATTAAGTTTTTCCTTTTTGATAAATCTTAGAGCAAGAGCAGCTTCAACTTTGTGTGTCACTCTCTCCTCTGTCCATTTCTCTCCAAACCTAATGAAGTAGCGACAGATGACTGCGACACATTAGTCTGGCTCTGCTCGAGGTTTCTGCCTGTTGCAAAGTGCTCAACTAATGTGCTTGATGATGGGATGGGGGTTACAGTCTTATCCCATCTAAACATTACGCCTTTGTAAATAGAGTCTGATCTAGACCAGCTTTAAAATCAGCCCTGAATAGATGAGAGTACTAAGAGCTCACCATAACGTATCTGTGTATTTTGTGTGTTTGGCACAAGTAGCACGACTTCTGCTCTTTTCTAATTCATCCAGACACAGTGAACAACATCAGCAGTTATATGGAGTGTGGCTGGAAAATCCGCTCTCTCTGAGGAACGTATTTTTGCCCTCCAACAGTTCCTCAGAGAAGATCCTGGTCATATGGTAGACACGCTGCTCTCTAACTCTGTCAGTCTGCTGGATTGTGCTGATCGGGCAGTAAAAGCTTTTTAACTGAAGATGGATGTCTGGAGCAGATGCAATAAAACAGAGTCCGTCAGCAGCTTTTTATGTTACACTGATTAAATGGAGATAAAGCAATAAAACATGGGAGCTAGACTGATAAGTTTTTAAGCAAACATGTCTGAAAACTCGATCTGAAAGGGGGAGACTTGTAAGAAACACTCCTACTGCGTCTACATGCGCCTCAATTTGTCCTAATCCACTCTGACCCCCCTGACCCCTAGATATCTTTTGCGATAAGAACCATAGATAGCTTGAAAACACAGATGTCCCTCAGTTTCTTTCTATCATCATTTTCCTATTACCCAGAATCCTCGTCCACTGCTATTTCCCCGATGGTTATTATGGCCAATTAGTGTCAGTCTCGCATTCATCTGAGCAGATCCACGGACGGTTTAAAGAAAAAAGTTGGAGCGGACAAAGAGTTCCTTCATGAGGAGAAGTCAATCAACAGCTCTCTTCTCTCCGTCTATCAGTCTGTCAGTCTGTCTGTCCAACCTCTCCCCCCCTCTTCATCTCTCTCTCTGTCTCTTTCTCTGTTGAACTCGTTTAATTTTCCGTTTTTTGGCCCTCTGCTTCTGCCCAACATTCTTCCCTCTTGCAGCCTTCTTCTAATTCACCACATCTCTCCCTGTTTATCGCATCCATCTCTTCCTCTCAGCTTGTTTCTATCTCCTCCTCTGAGTGGCTACACCTCTCCGCCGTTCCCTTAAGACCAGGATCCTCCCCTTCATTCCTGAGCCGCTCTGACTGACAGGGGAGAGATTATCATGTTTCGATTCTCCCCCGTCCCCGCTGACCTCCCCCTCATGACCTCCTGTTCCTGTTGCTACTGTACGTGGGAAAGTGAACAGGACTAATTAACTGTCATATTGAACATTTGAAGTTTTCCTTCAAGAATCACGAGGAACATTCAAAGGGTTGGTTGACCTCAGTTTCATACAATACAATCAAAAGACATATAAGGCCCAGAACCAGGAGGCGCTGGGAGTCCGTTCAGGGTCGGGGTTCAGGGATTAGGATTATTACAAAATACGTTTACTTCGGACGCCAAACTTTGTAACTTTGCATTTTTTGTTATAAATGTTGAAAAGCATGATTACCCCCGCTTTGAAGACCTGCAGCCACTGTCTTTACCGATCCCAGGTCAGTCTCACACTCCACCATATGCACAGCGTTGGTGGTCTTGCATTTATATTCCGTCGCTAAACTGGAGTTTTGATGATCAGTTCAAATCCTAAACTTCATATACATTGTCAGGTCTGCTTTGTATGAAAGAGGATTAGGGCCACATGAGGAGAAAAAAAATGATTATTGGAAGGACATTAAAGTCAAAATTTTGAGATTAAAAATTGAAATCATGAATAATGTTAAAATTTTGAGATTATTGACATAAAGGTCCAAATTTTGAGATAAAAAAAAATCCAATTTATATCAAAAAAATCCAAATTTCAAGATTAGAAATTGAAATATTGAGATTAAGGTAAAAATTTTGAGATTACAAAATTTTAGATATCCTGAATAATGTAAAAATTTTAAGATTAAAGTTGACATGAATGTAGTTGAAATTTCTTGATTAAAATCAGAATTTTAAAGATTTAAAAGAACCTGGATTATGTCAATAGAGTCGAAATTTCGAGATTAAATATTGAAATTTCGAGATTTAAGTCAAAATAACTACATTATGAAAGTTGACATTACAAAATATCGAGATATCGGGAATAATGTCGAAATTTTCCAGGTTATTGATGTTAAAGTTGAAATGTAGAGATTTAAAAAATCAAAAATGATGATGATAATGTCGAAATTTCAAGATTAAAAATTAAAAAATCGAGATTAAAGTCAAAATTTTGAGATTACAAAATGTCGAGATATCATGAATAATGCTGAAATTTTGAGATGTAAATCGACATGAATAAAGTCAAATTTTTGACTTAAATCTCGAAATGTCGACTTTAATCTCCAAATGGAAATTAAAAAAATCTCCCTCCTGTAATCATTTTTTTCTTCTCCTGTGGCCCTGATCCTCTTTCGTAGCTTTGATACTGAACTTTCTGCTTCCTGATCAACTTTTGGGCTACAGCCTCCTATTTGATAGTGGAAATTTTGAATATTCATCATTTCACGGCAGATTATGTTTCTTTTAACCGACTCAAAATGATCAAACTAATTGTGGGAAGATCCGATCTGAATCCAGCTGGTTCTCTAACGCCGTTTTCAAAGATTCGTGGCTTTGTCTGAGTGATCCATACGCTCCTCTGTATTTACGAACACGATCATATTCCTGTTTTCTCTTCTGCGGTTTGTGACTTCGCCTTTAATGTTTGGCGCGCTGGTGATTTAGAGAAAGTCTGCCACCATATATCCGGTATCAGCCAACACAAGTGCGTCCAAACACAGCTGCCTCTCTCCTCATGTGTTCCTAAAATCTTGTGGTTCTTCACAGCGATCCTTATTTCGTTATAACATTGGACGGTTTTGCGAGGTTATCTCGTACTCTGTGATGTGTATATTGGACTGAAAGGATTTCAACAATCTAACATCTCTATGAGGAGTTTGGCCGCTGCTGAGGAGATCAGAAATATTTAAAAGAAGACAGAGGTGATAAATCACAGGCCTCTGCTGTCTCTACCCCCTGTAGCCTCACTCTGTTGCTTTAAGTCGCTGCGATTTAACGGGCCGACTCTGACAATCTATTACCCTGACTTTAGTGACTTGACTCTCGGGGTCACGGAGGAGATAAAGCATAAAGTTGCCAACATTCACACACAATCATCGCTGACGGAGAACAGGCGGTGCGTCTCATTTAAATAAACAAAACACACACACATATATATATACTACTCTTTTAGTTTGTGCAGCTTCCAAACACCGACACAAACCCTCCCTGCTCGTGTATTTTCCATCCCTCAAACATGACTCCAGTGAAATACATGAGAGGAGTCTTTATACTTAAGGGGAGGATGACTAAGTGTTAGTGGAGCGCTGAAAGAGAGTGTGTGTGCACAAAAGAGAGCACAGTGTTGTGTGTATTTGTGCCATGCATACAAGTTTCTTTTCACCTCCTCCTCCCTCTGACCGCTGCGGAGTTAAGACTTCATAACAGTAACCGCACTACTGGCTGCTTAGACTTGGCATCTTTTCTCTTTGTGTAAAATACATTTACAAGTACACACACGCTGCAACACAAACACTCTTTCTACACAAACAGGCGGGGACACATTTGCAGAAAACACTGAAATGATGATTGTTTTTATGAGAAAGTGTTTGTGTGTGCCTGTTTGTGCATGTTTAGCCTTCCTACAATAGTATTTTCAGCAGCTAATCTGTGTTTCCGTAACAATATCGGAGTCACAGGAAAGCCCTGCAAATAAACAGCTCAGTTCCTGCTCAGAGTTTGAAGAAGATGGTTGGAGGGTTTTAAAAATACAGTGTTTAGTATGCGGCCGCATTAAGGGCGAAAAAAAAAGTTTAATTTAGTGTGTAAACATGGGAATATAAACATTATTGTATTAGACTGAAAGACAAAGATGAAGAGTGGTTGTTGGATCAAACTTCTCATGCATCACAGGAGCTTGTGTGTCCTTGAATGCCACCTTGCTTCACAAACAGGAGGGGTGAGCAAGAGAGCGTTTCAATCTAGACTGTTAGATTGTTAAATATGCCGATTTCTGCTCACTGTACCCAGGGGGAAACTAACCCGGGATTTCCACCGCATCCAGAACAGTGGCGCATTTTGCCATACGCGAATTTCTACTGGATCCGTTTGTGAGGCGGCACCTCGTTAAACTTGGGTGCGCTCCTCTTGTTCAAAGCCTACGGGTACAGTACCTGCAAGAACCTTATCCTACTTTCACCTTTGACTGTATCTTTAAACTACAGGAGGAAGGTGTCTTAAATTTCCACATTTAGGTTGTTTAAGACCTTTAGAAAAATTTCTGTTTGTGTTGACTTTGGCGCCCCCTGTGGACAAAATTATACCCTTATATTACTCTTAGCGGGAAAAGTACTGAAAAATGTCTTTTTTTTTATTTCAAAAATCATTTCAGTCTCTTTCAAAAACTCCTCACAGGAGCTTTAATTAACTTTAGACGGATCCAAACTGAGGTCGTATTTACTAAAAGCCAAGCTCCCGTTGGAATAACGTAGGGAGGAAGATATGCGCTACATCCCATCAAAGATTAACGGGATAATTAAGCTAACCAAAGAATTTTTATTGGAAGTGTTTCTAACACCATGTTTTTCTTTTTACATGTGGAAAAAGTAAAAGATTGTCTAACTGGTTGGTTTGGCAAATTCACATCTGGCAACCTTCACTAACGCAGTAAAGGCTGAAAAAATGGTGGAAAGTAACTTCATTAAAAGGTGCATTCTTTCGATTTTAGGCAAAGGAAAACATAAATGCTGAGTAATGCTTTATTAAGAGCATCAGCGGCTTCTTTTGAAGCATGTGCATTGGAAAAAAGTTGTTCAAAATTTAAGTTCAAGGCCAAACAGTTAAAGACTTTTGCTCCTGAAGACTGCTGTTTCCTGTTTGATAGTGTGCAGAAGGTTTTAAGAGCTTTTCTCCCTTTTCTGCTAAAAACAGCTGCTTGTTTAACAACGGCGGTGTTAATGGTGATGAGGCAAAACAGTGAAGCGTGGGGCTGTAAAACCGAAACAATGAGCCAAGACGTGCTGTAAAGGGAACTTCAGAGCCCGGTGATTAACTGGACCACGAGTGACCACTTTCTTGGAGGCAGACACACAGTTTAATGATTATTGAGTATCTTAAATGTGAAACGTACACCTCCATGCATACTTTGTCCTTCACCTGCTCATACAAACACTGATTTCATGACTCCTCTGAGCAGTAAACTCATTGTTTACATCTTGTTTTTATTTACTGAGCTTTAACGCAGTGTGAGAGGAACTTTTGCACCTGTCTGAGCGTCACTTTACGTACCAATAAATGCCTCCTCCTGATAAAACACTCACAGGAAGCTGCACTCTTGACATCTCAACTCACACATACCAGGTTAGGTTTATTAAAGAGCCTCTCTGCGTGAGTCCTGCGGAGGGGAATTGTGTGTAAACCTGAAATAGTCTGAGACAAAAGTGACATAGAGACTAAGTGGGAGGAAGAGGGGAAGAGAAAGAAAATCGGGTTCAATACCTAAACAAAGAAAACACTCGGCGGCACCTATTGTGAGGGGATCTTTCATTTAACTTCAAGGGAAAGGGTTCGACAGCGACCTGAATGAGTCGATGGAAAGGGGCGTGGTTAATGTTCGAACTGTGACCCGAAAGGTCAAGCACCCCTCCAATGTCCTTGTAAAGATATACCCGTGTACACACAACCGCAAAGCACACAGACTGTCACAAACAAGAGTCTACACACTCGAGTGCACTCACTAATGCTTGACTGAACGCATGCCCGCAGACCCACATACACAAAGACACACACACACATTCTTCCACTGTCTTAAAAAGCAGTTTTACTCCCACACACACACACACACACACACACACACACACACGGTTTTCTCTTTGGACTCGTTCCAGCATGAAGCGACAGTGTGACTGTGTAAACTTCTCTCTGATTGTTTAGCCCGGCGGTCATGAAGATATACAGAGATTGCCCATGATACTTACATTTACTTTAGCATGAGGTCTGAGGCCCGTTTTAACCCTTTATAGTCCGTGTGCGTTTAACCCACCTATCCTCTGAACTTTAACGTCTTCGTTTGTTTAACTCAGAGTTCCCGTCCTTATACTTTTATCTAAACAAGGTAAAGAAAAAAAGCTGTCCCTTTTAGTGAACTGCATGCTGGGAACTATGTTAATTGGCTCACAATGACTGGAACTGAAAAGGAGCCTTTTTCCCACATTTGCATTACCATATGTAATGAGATTTGTTTAGCCCTCTAATTAGCAGAAAGCAGAAAATCACACGGATAAAGTGCGTTTGGATTTTTTCCAGGATCCCGTCAGAACCAGGACAATCCTGTTACTGTCTTCATGCTCGGTAAGACCCATGCATCCTGGACTGTTATTAACTTCTGAAGAGCATTGTGGCAAATATACTGTTTGGATTTTGCAAAATATAACCAAACTTTAAGAGACTTAGAAAAAAGTGTTCAACCTTCCTGCTCTTAATCTGTGAAGCTGAATAAAGGTCATATGATCATGCCAAGATACAACTCTATGTGAGTGTTTAATGATAGTTGGCTGTGTTTTTGTAATTTATTGTGACAACAGGGAATTAAAGCAGGAAGTGCATCATCTGTGAAACAAATTAGACTGAATTTAAGTTAGTGATGGGCACGGCAGTTCTTTTAGATGTACTGAATCACTAGAATCATTTCACTAAAAAGATTCGTTCAAAAGATTCGTTCACCAAATCACAGAATCATTTAACGCTTGGTGGGAGGAGCCTGTGACTCCGGCCTCCTGAACTGACACACAGCTGAACGGTTCAGGATTCGGTTCAATTCATAGTTTCTGGGACCAGAAACGAGAGTGTTTGTCTGTGTTGCTTTGACAAACAGGTTTGTAAAAATAGCTTGTTTATAAGTCATCATGTTTTAAGTGTACTGTCCTATGGTATGGTATTTATCAGGTCTGCGCAGTAAATTGGGGTCAGTGAGGGATTCGTTCACTGAACGTTTAGAAGAATTCAAACTGAACATTCATTGTTCCCTCGCAAACCGCTGCGATGATAGGATGCTGTGGGTTTAATGCACTACTTGTTACATGCTGTGTCCTATTGTATGAAAGTTGTTGTGGTGGCAATTTAGCAGTGAAAAAAAAAGTTAGTTTTGTCCGATAAAAGTGATTCCAGAGAGTGTAGTTCAATGCGGGATTCGTTCACCAAGTGATTCAGGCGTCGGTGCATGTGGGCCCTCGTTCACCAGCTGCTCAACTAGCAATGCTGTTTCTCACTTCAGCTCAACTGAAGTGACTCGATTCAGTACGTTCACTTAAAAGATTCGGTTCTTTTGAACGAATCGTTCGTGAACGACACAACACTAATTTAAGTGACTTTCTCATGTTTGAGTCTCTATTTCTTAATCTTTGACTTAACGATCACAGTCTGTTTACAAAAAAAACTGCATGCAAACCGCTACGTTTTCAGAAAAGTTTTTCGTTTACACTAACCTGTGTATATATGCTGTCAAAAGCATGCCAAACCTGTAGGTGGCAGTGTAGTCAGTTTTACCAAAATCAAGTCTTATCATGTTTGTTTTAAAATCAGAAAAGAGTCAAAATTTGTCTGGAAGTTTTAACTTTTATTTCCTGGTGAATTCAGGACAGGATCAGGGTTAGGAAACAGTCAGGGTCAGTCTGACAGAGCAGTTGTCAAATGGGGTTGAGGTCAGGTCTCTGTGAACATCAGGCCAGTTCTCTCTCACATCAGGCTGCCTAAATTAATGTGCTGGCCTTTGTCTGCAGGGGCACTCTCACACTAAACAGGAAAGGGTCCGGCCTAAACGGTTGCCAAAAAGTTGGGAGCAAACTAAGATGAACTTTTGTAGATAATCAGAGTCAAATTTGGTTTTTCCTGTGACAATATCATTTAAAAAAAAGCTTCTGACTGAGCTGAGAGTCACGTCTGTGCGCTCACCTCTTATTGTGGCCCCTCGGTGTTAATGTAAAGACAGAAATAGCACCTGAATGGAGCACGGTTCCTAACAGTCTGTATATAATTCTGCACGTGAGCCTGAAAACATCAGCAGTCCACCTGCATCTAACTGCAAACACACGGCTCTACTCCCTCCCTCCTCCTCCTCCTCCTTCTTCTTCTTCTTCCTCTGTAACTGCCTGGAACCGATGAGCTGGATGCAGCTCAGACATTTTGGCAGGAGATGTGTTGGAGCGGGTCCGGGTCCTCCTGAGCCCCCGTGTTACTCCCCCGCTGGACGTCTTCAGTTCATTCAACAGCCTTTACCACTTATGGAATACTTCACACATCTGTCAAAACAGATCAATTGAGTTCAAACAGATGTCAGGGGGGCAAACCGCACTGCCACGGGCCAGCGCATTCTTCTCTCCAATGCGTCACTATGGAAGTGTGTGTGTGTGGTTTGATTGTGTGTGTTTGTCACAGTCCAGTCATGCTGACTCCTTCATAGCCTACTGGTTCCAGCAAGGGGGAAAGGCATTTGGGGACCCAGGCCCAGTTTTCTCCTCTTTAGCAGAGTCTGTCTTTTCTCTTCTCTGGCTTTTCTCGTTTTTACATCCTCCCCTGTCATCCTGCTCGGCTCCTCTCATTTCCTACACTCTGGTATCTCTCTGTCTTTTTGCACTTGTTTCTCCTTCTCAGCAGCTTCATCGAGGCCGAGCATCCACGCAAACATGACTCAGGCAGCGGTAGCAGAAAAAAAAAACCCTGATAGGAGCTCATATTGCAGCGGCTCAGCTCCCAGAAGTCTGGCTTTTCCTCGCATACAGACGTACACGCATGCTAAGTGCAAACACATGCAGGCTGACACACACCACATGTGAGGGGGTACAGGCTCTGTCCTCCATACACTGAGTCATTATGTTGTGACCCCGTTTTTCACACTCATGCATACACATGATAACTCTGTAAACAAGCCGAAAGTTCCTTATGAGCTTTACAACATACAAAACTAACTACATGTCAACAGTTTTCCACTTGACAGCTCATCTTTAGTCAAATGCACCTCTTGTTGCAGTGATGGATTCCATTAAAACACGGCAGAAACTCAAGGTGCTTTCTCAAAACTCTGCACCCCATGAGAACTTTTGCACCAGGGGCCCTGAAATAGTAAATATCACTAATCCCAGTAAGCCCAGTCCAGCTTTCGGCCCCTCCACCCAAACCCGACCCCCAAAAAGTGAGCACTTACAGCATATTGGTGCTGATATATTGTTATACGAGTGGGTCTGTTGTTGTCAAAGGGTTAAGATCAGTTTGTTATCAATCGACCTGTCACTTAAAATAGGTTAGAAATAGATTGATTATCAGAATCAGAAACAGAATCAGAAATACTTAAAAATCTCCAGGGGGAAATAGCTTTTTGTTGCAGTAACTCCAGTGCAAATAAAGTAGAAAAAAGGAGATAAATAGTAGATAAAATAAGTAAAAATAAAGAGATAATATACAAGTATGTACACTATATACAAGTGGTTCTCAACGGGTCCTGACCTAAAAGTGTGTTGCAGTCACGTTCTGAATGGGTCGCAAACAGCTGGTCACATAAACATTTAATGTGCATCTGATGTTTGACATGTCTTTTATTTTGAAAAATAGCTTATTTTGAAAGGCATGTCTTATGTCGTGGTCCTCCTCTGTGTCTTATTAATGTGGCCTGAATGCAATAAAATATATTTATTTTCTCCATTTTGTGGAATTTAATATTTGATGTTTAGTAACTTCAGTAGTTGTCATCAACAGTTCATGTACTCTAAAAGACACTTTACTCAATAAAAACTGTGTATTTATGTTAAAGATTTGAGTCTTTAAAGCTTTTTTTATATATATAAACTAAAATTGCTTGATTTGAATTTTATAAAGTGGGTCGTAACTTAAAGACCATGGGAAAATGTGGATCCCAGAGTGAGAACCGCTGCTATATACAGCACAAAATAGTAAAGTAATATCATAAAATAGTGAGATAATAATAGAGCAAAATATCACTAATAAATAAGTAATTATGACTTCCAATAAAGGTCCAAAAAAAAAACCCGCAAATTTTGCACTTTAAGTTAAAAAGGATGATCTATTAATAAAACTAATAAAGGAGGCAATAATCAATAGACTTGTCAATACTCAAGCTGCTTCAGTACTAAAGCATTACTGCACTCTAGGACCCCCAAACCTCACTACAAGACCACTCATGGTGACCCTCAGACTTCCTAATAAACACTCATTCTAATGATTAATCGAAAGCTATATCGACCAAACGAGCCACAGGTGTTCATGTTCACGTTTACGCACGAGCTCCTCGGTCTTACCTGTGTCTGCTGGCCGCTCTCTGCCCCGTCTGGATACTGGACTCAGAATACCCAAGACCCCAACTAACCCGTGCCAACATGAAGGCAAGCAGGTAAAACAGCGTCTCCATCCTCGGCTCCAGCTCCAGCTCCGGTTCAGATTTAGAGAAAAGTCATTGAGCTCCAAAGTTAAAGGAAGAAAAGTCCTCTGGTTCTGATTCGGTATCCTTATAGACGTGATATCGGCACATGATCGCGGTTCGCCATGACTTGATCGGGTGAAAAGTCCCTCAAACGTCTCCGAGTCCTCCTGTCAAGTGCATATCAGAGTGTGAACTGAAGACTCGGAGTCTGACTGTTTCTGCTTCTGAGGGAAGAGGAGCGATCCACATGAGGAAAGTTTCCTGTCGGAGCTCCAGGGGCAGTCATGCCCACTCTCTCTCCCTCTCTCTCTCTCTCTCTCTCTCTCTCTCTTTCTCTCTCTCTCTGCCCTCTCATGCACATTTCCTCACTCTTTCTTGGAACTCAGCTTGACTCAACTTTTGTCGGTTCCATTGAACTCAAACCACATTATCTGCAGTCTAATGTCATTTTCCAACGAACAAGGTCGAAATTAAGAAATGAAAGAGGAAGAAAACCTCAGAAATCTGGAAAAACCCCAGACACTCAAGTCATAAAACAGGTGGAGCTTTAGAACCTTATTCATAATAGTTCTCAGAACCCTATACGGCACATTTCCCCAAATATCTCCTCTTCTCATTTCTGCATTTTTAATAATATTGAGACATAACTGTAATGTTGAATAACTCTACATCTCATTTAACAGATTTATATATATATATATAGTGCCAGTTAGCAGTGCAGACATGATAAAAATAGACTACAGTATTCAACGTTTGTTAGAATCACTCTATGACCATCTATAAAAGTTATTTTTGTAAAGCTACTGTAAGAAATTTTTCATACATATCAATCTTGGCGCCCCCTGTGGACAAAGCAGTCCTTGCTTCTCTTGCTTGAACATTATCTGTTAACAAAAAAATCTCTTCATTTTGATTTCTGACATAAAAAAATATTATTTAATGTCAATATTTTTTATGGATAATATAAATAAAAGGCTGTTTCATTAGCAGTTTGGCTAACATTCAGTACATTTACATGACACTTGAGAAAACCAAATTATTGCCTTACTCCGATTAAGACCGGACAACTGAAGTGCATGTTAACACCTTAGTTCGAGTCTAATCGGACCGAAAAGACTCATATCGCCCCCTAGTTTTGGGGAGGAGGACATGCTCATGTCAATAATTCAATTTTCTCTGCTACATTTATACACGGACAAGGAAAGAAGTCTGATTCAGCAAAAAAACTAATAATGAGCTTAGTCCGATTAAGCTGTGCATGTAAACGTACTGACTGACCCTCTAGCACCAGTTTCAGGTATTAGAAATAAAAATAGAAATGCTCAGCGCTGATGCTCGTGATCATGTTTGCTTTTGTAGCTAGCTTATTTCATAAACACCAAAAGCTCTTCACAGGAGCTTTAACTTGGAATAAACCTTTTATATATTAAAGGGAATAGATCCCCCTCCACTGAGACCACCAAGTTTGTACAGTGGCACAGAAAGGACAAAAATGTACCATTTGCTTATTTGGTGATGACTGAGAAAAAAATGTAAAAAGGAGAGGTTGTTGCGTGAAAAAGAAACAAAATAATAGATGTTCTTGGCGGTGAAAACTTCACATACTTTCATTTTAACAGCTGAAAGACGTCAGTTTCAGTTAGCAATGTGCAGCTTTCATGCGGATGTGTAGCTCTTTCTTAAATCTGAAATGATGTCTAAGCTGTAGCTGTTCCGGACGCGGTGAAAGTTGATGGTTATTGTCATGAAGCCAGGGTTAAACAAGGGAAAAGGACCAAAAATGCAAACAAACAGGATTTATTAAAAAGAACTATGGACTCAAAGATTCAGGATCACAGGCAGACACAACGCACAATGAACCAACAAGAAACAGGGGAAGACAGGGACTCTATATACACACTGGGAAACGAGCAACATGTGAGGCAGACGAGACACAGGTGAGACTCATGAGGGAAAACTAGGGAAGTAGAAACACAAGGAATCAACTACTAGAAAATAAAACAAAGAAAATATACTCAAATAACAAAACCAGGAAAAAACTAAATAAACAGAACATATCATGACACTCATACCTAATTTAACAGTGTTCCCATTTTTCATGAACTGTACCTTTAATGGAAGCATCATGAGTACTATTTGAAAATCAGCATTTTTGTGAATGAATTAATGGATTTCTTGTATTAATCTAAACAGAAACTCTCTCACAAAATGACGACTTTAGCTTTAAACTGGAACTAGACCCAGAGATTGAATTTTCTTTCATTTCCTCACACTCTCCATTCATATCCTTCTCAATCCAGATGCTTCAAAGACACAAACTTCAATATAAGTGAGTGAAAAAGGTTAAAATGAAACTAAAGTAGGATACACAGCAGCTTCTTTACTCCGACTTTCAGCAGGCAGAGCTGAGCACTGATCAGAAGTCAAAGGAGAGACGTGAAATCTCAAAGCGCAGAAGCTTGTTTACATTCAGTGAGCGACGGCTTTAGTCTGCTTTATAATCACAGTCGATCTTGAAGCAATCAGTCAGTCTGAGTTTAATCTGAGAGGTGGATCAGACCTAACAGTTTAACATGAGACACAGACAGACAGCTCTTATTAGCAGCTCCTTATCAGCCGGCTGTTGTTGAGGTGTGATCGACGCTGCTGCTGTTCTCCCTCTGCAGAGCGAGTTTGACTCCACGCCATGACTAACATTTCCCTCCATTTCCCCTTCCACCTCTTCGCTATCATTATCTGGACCCAAATTTAGCGCTCATGCTCTGGAGGCTAAAAATAGACCGTCATAATCTAAGCAGTTCCCCGGTCGGAGATACATCACCTAGAGTCGGTTTAAATTCCACGTCAGTGAAGTTTGTTTTCAGGATATTTTAAAACACATTCAGATAAAAATATCTTTGCTTTGAACAACATCTGTCTTCTTATAACCAACTTTTGAGAGTACTTCTGCAAAAGGAGGAGGAGGAGGTTATCTTTCTCCTCATCCAGTTCGACATTTTCCCTCGTTGGAGGCCGTGAATCTCCTCCTCAGAGGAATGCCCAGCTCAGCAGTCCTCCCTACGGTTCACTAATGAGATCAGCTCTCCCAGCTGCTCTGTCACAGACTCGGTGACTCCCCACCGAGAGCCTGGACAGGCATACTGAGGAGGACGAGGGTAGAAAAATACACAACTTGGTCATCCGTGATGTTGAGCAGACTCCTGATAACTTGGCACGTATATTAAATTGATGTTTGTTGAGATAGTACCGCCATTACTCCTCATTGTAACCTCAGCTCAACTTCACTTCTCTTAAGTGGACTCCTCTGAACTTTTGGGGCAAAACATTGTACTAAAACTTGGACCACATCGAGGAGCTTGATAAGTTGGCGACCTCTGTTTTTATGGAAGTGTATTTGTTCGTAAGGCTCACGGCTCATTAAGCGCAAGATTGCAACCTGGCTACTGTACCTTTCAAATGAACTGTGAGCAACTGCAGGCCGCAGTTACAGTGATAAGACCGAGAATAAATGAGAGGCCTCGTAAACTATGTGATGCATGACACGAAGCAGAGGTAACAAGAGCTCTAACAGGGCCGAGCTGAAGGGATGAAGACGGATGGCGGACGTCGTGCAGGAGAGCGCAAATTATGTCTCGAATTCCAACCGATAAATCCGGAGAGAGCAATCATGCAGGCAGATTCTCATGGACGTATAGTCGCACTTTTCAGCTTTATTGCTTCCTTGAATTACTTTCTCATCTGCAGCCAAAGGTGCAAAACACTTCCAGGATCAGATGTTTAAGTGTTATGGTGTTTTTTCATTCATAGGAAGCTGCTGCCAGCTTTTCTCTCTCACACATTTCAAACAAACCTTCATTCAGTCCCTGAGGACTGTGGAGAAGAAAACATGTTTGGAGGTTGTTGCTCACAGAGAGTTGAATGTTTTGAATAACTGGTTTTCAGTTTCAGAAGAACATGAGAGCTCCTAAATAAAAAAAACCCCTCTAAACTGAACAAATATAACCAAAAACATACCATGTCTACTCTAATTTGTTTGCTTTATGTGACTGCAATCAAGTTTACCTCCCCTGAAAGACCAAAGAGAATCAACAGAAGAATAAAAATGTGTTAGATTTTATACGCTTACTTTTACTCAAGGTTATTTTTCGTCAAAGGTACAGAGTGGAAATGAGAAAACAACATCTAATACAGCATTACCTTGGAAGTCTGATGTCAGAGCTGGGAATGACGAAGCACCAGAGTTGACGGCGGTCCAGTTAACAAGTCAGAAGATCAAGACGGACGCCTACAGTTAGCTGTTGTTAGCTTTTGTCAGCTGTCGTTCGCCGTTGTCAGTTGTTATCAGTTGTTGTTAGTAGTTGTCGTTAGCCGTTGTTGGTAGCAGTTGGTAGCAGTTGTCAGCTGTCGTTAGCCATTGTCAGTTGTTGTCAGTGGTTGTTGTTAGTCATTGTAAGTTGTTGTTAGCTGTTGTTTGTCGTTGTCAATTGTTGTTAGCTGTTGTTAGCCATTGTTGTTAGCTGTTGTCAGTTGTTGTTAGCTGTTGTTGTTAGTTGTTATCAGCTATCATTAGCCGTTGTTAGTTGTTGTTAGCTGTTGTTGTTAGTTGTTGTCAGTTGTTGTTTGCTGTTGTTGTTGTCAGTTGTTGTTAGCTGTTGTTGTTAGTTGTTATCAGCTATCATTAGCCGTTGTTAGTTGTTGTTAGCTGTTGTTGTTAGTTGTTGTCAGTTGTTGTTAGCCGTTGGCAGCTGTTGTTAGCTGTTGTTGTTAGTTGTTGTCAGTTGTTGTTTGCTGTTGTTGTTGTCAGTTGTTGTTAGCTGTTGTTGTTAGCTGTTGTCAGTTGTTGTTAGCCACTGTTGTTAACGGTTGGCAGCTGTTGTTAGCCATTGTTGTTAGCCGTTGTCAGTTGTTGTCAGTTGTTGTCAGTTGTTGTTAGCCGCTGTTGTTAGCGGTTGGCAGCTGTTGTTAGCTGTTGTTGTTAGTTGTTGTCAGTTTTTGTTAGCTGTTGTAAGTTGTCAGTTGTTTGTAGCGGTTGTCAGTTTTCGTTAGCAGTTGTCAGTTGCTGTTGGCCATTGTCAGTTGTTGTTGGCCGTTGTCAGTTGTTGTTAGCCGCTGTTGTTAGCAGTTGGCAGCTGTTGTTAGTTGTTGTCAGTTGTTGTTAGCTGTTGTAAGTTGTCAGTTGTTGTTGGCCGTTGTCAGCGGTTGTTGTTTGGCAAAAACCGCTTCCGTAATGTCCAGACCAACCACAATCTTCTACGTCATCCAAACCAACTTTAAACCAATCATATACTGCTAAATTATGCAGGTGGGCATTCATAAAAATGTACAAATGGGCTAAATGAGGATCAGACAAGAGTGGCAGATAGTAATATTAAACTTTTTTATGATAAGTGGCTTTTAAAGCATCAGAGCAGCTTTCTCTCCTTCTGGGCCACCATTGAATTACCAAGAGTGGGTGACAACTAGACATCTCTATTTTTTTCTTACTTTTCCATGCGCTCTACCTCTGAGATTTGATGAATATTTAATGTTCCCAAAGTTATTACGTTCATCCAGGAGGATGCATAAATCTGGTCATCGTGTAAATCTGCAGATCAACAACAGGAACCTCTTTTGAAAGGTTGTCCTTGTCTCTCGGGGTCGACATGTCTTGACCCCTGTCTCGTCCCAAACCTGTGTTAACATTCACGTTAAAAACACCCAGGGGTCCAATCCGGTGGGAGCTATATACCATTTAAGAGTGTGACGGACTGTTTCTTTAAGTTTATGTGCTGCTAAATTTTATTTTCTCCCGCTGCTGAAGGGGGGAAAAACTCGCTGATGAGTTCCTTTCTCACAGCTCGCTTTAATTCGCAGGAATCTCTGGCGTTTTCATCGGTTTGTGCGGCTTCCCTGCGAGGCATGTCTTCAAAGAATGCGAGTGGACGGCGTTTCTTTTCCTGCGGTTTTTGATTAATTGCTTCTTCCTTTAAGAGGCCAAGTTGCATTGTGGGATGTACTTGCATTGACCCTGTCAGCTGTGCGGCGTTGGTTGGCTGGTCTACTGGACTCTTGACCAAAGCCACCAAAGCCCTTGGGAAGATTAACATTCCTGTGAAGAGGGGAGGGGGGTACTGTTTCTTCTTGCCATTATAAATAGTGAGGATTAGTCCGAACACAACAAAACAAACACGGCTGTCTGCTGTGACAACAAACAACAAGTGCTGATGAGGACGTGTAAATCTTAATTCTGCTCTTTCGTTAGTTTTCTGCAGCTCGTTCCTTATTTTCCACTCCCACTTCTTCCCCTTCAGCCTTTATCTGGACTTTCTGTGTGTGTGGGGTTTGACCGGTGCATGTTTCTGATGCTTTGCGGCTGCCATGTTGACATTCTGCGAGGCTTGGCCTGCATTTCACATTTGTGCAGGTCAGGGTGTTTTGTTTGCTTTAACTATTATGGGAGACCCCCAGTTGTTATTTCGCACTTTGGAGGAACCTTTAAAAATGCCTCTGTTGGCGTGGTATGCTCCGCTGCACGGAGAAGACTTGAGCTTCAGGGGAGGTCTCTTTAGGGTCTAATTCTGCCAGACTACAGTCAAGCTGTGGACCCGCTGACTGGTTTTATTCTTCTGAGGCCTTAGATACCCGGGCCACATGCACGTACATACAAGGCGGCCTTCATTCATGAGTCACACTAGAGTTTGTGTGCAGCAAACATACAGTAGTCCTGAGCAAACTCCACACACAAAGTACCTTTATTTTTCCAGACTTTACTCACGCTGCATATCTCCACTCTTTCATGACTGACTTCACTTTAAAGTCGGACAAAGGGGAATGTTCACGTACTTCCATAGGAATTACTCACACATACATCTGTTGGTGCAGAGGTTCATTAACCTCTTTAACTCCTCCATTCACCTCTCCGCTGAAAGCCCGCAGTAATAATCCATAACTTGAGTCGTGTTCTTGGATCGTGATCAAGGTTTTTACTGCGCCATTAAAGCTATGTTTCATTCCTATAATCCTGCCGGCAGTCAGGAGTTTTCCAGTAAAACTCTCTCATAAAACAAACGATGACTATCCCTGTTAAATCAGATTGTTTCAGCGTTTACAAAAATAGCTGCTCCTGCAACTCGTCTTTCTTGGCTCAGAGAAACTTTTCAGATTCTTTCGAGGGTCGCTACACCCAGATGTTCAAAGTTGTTGGCCTGACGTATTATCACCTCATAAAGTTAGAATGACATTAGGCTGCCTTTTACACATAAAACAAAGATCGCTGCAGAACATTTGGAGTTATGATACATGAAACCGTACGAAAAGTGTAAATTTAGTCTAATCTCTGTCCTTAAAGTCCCACTCCAATCGTTTTTTTTTACTACTTACAGTGTTCCAAGTGGTCTTTAAAATAAGATTATGAAGTTTTTAGCCAAAATTACGTTACCAGTTTCATTTTCAAGGATTTTTCTTCTGCAGAGCTCCAGTAGCTCATTAGCAATTCGCCTCTGAGTCGTGGGCGGAGACAGCGCCGCTCTGCACACTCCTCTTCACGCTAGCTTGCAGCCTAAACCCCATTTTCCACCACATCGCGAATGGCTCCACTACGGAATGGCAGCAATTCTCGCTTTCTACCAATTCCTACTGTTCTGTTTGTGAGGCACTTTTTGTGGCGGATTACAGACAGCGGGAATCGCAAGAACTCACAAGAACCCATGGACTCATGTGCAATCACGCGACAACGAGTCATTTCTATAAAGACAGCCACATAACCATAAAAGCAGTAGATTGTGTCCTTCCAGAGGAGGAAATCTACTTCTAGACTTCTAGAATCAGCATCTCCTCATCCATGGTGTCATCAGGGTGAAATGACGTCTACAAACCTTTCACTTGTTCGTGGTGTGAAATATGATCCGCCTGAAACACGGAATGTTTTATTTTGAAAAGAAGCAGGACGTTTTAGTTTGTGTCTGTGCCTGACTTCTTTTCCAGCACGGGTTAATCTGAGCTGAATTTATCTAACCGCAGCGGAACAGAAAGAAGAATGGAAACAATCAGCTGCAATCGGCGGATACGGCCTTTTTGCCGCCGTTCCAGATGCGGTGGAAATTGGGGGATAACATTGCCGGTGTAGTAGAAGTAGCAGGTAACATAGGAGCTATTCAGCTCTCTGACACTTAAGGGGAATGACAAAAGTTAATATCACAATTAGCTTTCTTACGAGCATTTCAATCGACTAACGAACACGCTACTTCCGTGATCGTCCTCTCTACATTTCGGAGTCTGTCCTGCATAGTGGGACTCAGGGGGCGGAGCTTGGATTTGTTACGTAGGAAATCTGACTGTATCTGAACCTGCCGTTTGGATTTGAATTCAGAAATACTCAAAAATACAATTTCACACTTACTTTTCTCATAATTTGTCCTCTAGCATCAGAAATATGATTATATGAACAGGTAGACAACAAGAAAAACATGATTTTCATCAGAGTGGGTCTTTAAATCTCTGGACAATCAAACAAGCATCTCAATTGTGATGTTAGCGGCAGCTTGTGCACCTAAAGCTTCTATTTGAGATGTCTGCATGACTCTGAATCCTACGACTCATCTTTCAGTCCAGAGATTTACATAAAAGTGAGTCCAGATGCAGTTTAAAGTTCACTTTAAATGAACTGGAACTGTTGAGTCTGCTGTAATGTCATGTTTTATCTGTCTGAGAGTCAGTCATAATAAGAAATGAAACATATTCAACTGGATTTACATCTACATTGAAAAACGGTCTTTTACTTTCACTTTAAATGCTTCTAATTTCTCATCATCTCCAACACAAACACAGACAGGCCCTCTGTTTATTTTCCCAAGATAGCGTCTCGCTGCTATCACTCGCAGAAATAAATATCCAGACCTGGGTCCTGGCCCTTTCTATCTGTTCTGCACTGTTGAAAATGGTGTCCCAGAGATGCGGGGCGGGGAGCAGGGGAAACAATTTCCCTGTCATTTTAGTCATTACCTCTGCTCCTTATCATCGCGGATGTTTGTCTAAGAAATCCTGCATATGCACGGCCTTTTGAGGATGAGGATGGTATTACTTTCAATAGTTCCTCTTCTACAGATTGTCTCTTATTGTGCAGGATTATAAGTGAAGTCATGCAGTGCAAATGGAGAAAAGATGCAGGTTTAGCATATCAGTTTACTTTGCTATAAAACCTCCTCCTCATTTCTATTCTGCAGCAGTAGTCGCTGATGGTAACGTTTTGCCCACGCTCCCTAATAACTGTCAGTGATGCTGTGAATCCCGTCGTCATACGAGATGAAACCGACCTCCTGTGTGGGCTTTGTTTGAAGAGGCTGCGCTCATAAACAACCCACTAGGGAGCTGCAGCAGGATGTTTATGTGGATGTGAGGTAGAATGAATTAGGAACCGCAGGAGTTCACCGAGGCCCTCGCCGCTCACACAAACATACACGTATTCGCCAAATGCGCACGCCGTACAGCGCTAAAAGATTCTGTTTTTCTCCTGTAACCACCACTATTTAAAAAAAAAACCTCTAATACTCACTAAAGCAGCTTTAACAACCTTTATTTGAGTTTTGCATGCTCTGCAGCGCCGCTATAAAAGCACTTTCTCACACTAACTGACAGAGAAGAGTCCATCAGTCCGGTGCACATCTGCAAAGTTTTAACCCCAAACCTAAACCAGAAGTCTAACACCGTAACACACACCATCAAAACACACGAACACAAACAACAGATTTGCACAATTTCTGCATCTACAAGCGTTTTAGTTGTTCTGAAATTTTAACCATATGTCCACAGCTAAGCACGCATCTTGTGGTGGACGTTTTTTTTTTGTTGCCCTCCCACTTTTGTTCTTATCTGTGCTCAGCTTATTTTCTGCATCTCAGTGCAGTTTCAGTGCAGCAGCCCCTTGTTTGAACTCTGATTGTGAGGCTGGTTCCCCCGGGACAGCGCTCACAGGACAACAGCTATTACATTTATACTGTTACTAACACACCAAGGGCCGTCCATTCACTTTTGTCTGGTGTGTTACACTGATAAATGGAGATGAGGGGGTCAAAAGTTTAGCTATTGAATAGAAAATATATCAAACTTATTGGATCATGTCAGTTTTACAGAAACAAAAAGCGCCTTCTCAATCAGAGGTTGTGTATCTGCTCTGCAAAAGTGTCCAAGTATGAATAAGTCGTACCTAGGGCTGCATGATTTCTCTGAAAACTCCATTTTTGATTTCGAATTGTGACAACTTCACCAAATCTTCAATAAACAGTTTTTCTATCATCTCTCAAAACGAAACCACTGAAAACAATGGAGTGCGTATGCCAAGCCAGTAAGTGGCGCTGTAACGCTGCTGAGGAGATGAAGAAAAGACAGAAGAAGAGTACAGATAGACATCCACACAGAGATGAAATGGTCGTCGTTTACACTTTCGTATTTGTTTTCAAAGTCAAACGCCATTTCTGACAAAGAACTTTTGCATTTACTCCTGAATTCGTTGATACCGCCTTCAGACAGACTTTGCAGCAGGGAGTGGTTTGCTCTTCATCCGAAACTGTGAAGCTGTACCAATTCCACACGACTGACTCGCTCTTGTTTGATTTAGCCACGAAATTATCGCCTTCTTCTGCAAACGCCATGTTGGAAGAAGGGGCAGCCTGGAGACATGATAGAGAGGAAAACTGATTAGATTAGGGTGACCATATTCTGACTTCCCAAAAAGAGGACACAACTATGCGGGGGCGGAGTCACGGAGTCACACAAAGTTAATTTAGTTTTTCCGGGTCGGATCAAGTGTCTTTTACGCGCTTCTAACTCAGTAAGTCCACATGACACAAAATTGAAACTTACGTTCAAAACCGCAGAAATTTGAAGGATTTTATAAACTTCCCCAGACAATCCCGGACTGCCCCCCAAAAAGAGAGGACATATGGTCAACCTAGATTTGATGATTTTAAGTTTTTTAACATCGTCATAATCAAATAATCTGATTACGATTTAAAATCGAACAATCGTATAGCTCTAATTGTACCTAAAAGTTCCCAGACAAAAGCCTCTTGAGCATTTCCACCTTGCTGTGACATGTTCTCTACGGCGTACTGATTTAACGCTGCTGTTCCTCTAAATGTACCTCGTTTGTGAAAACAAAGTTGCTTGAAATATAGTGTCTGTTGGCTCTTTCTCAGGTTTTATGTTTCCAGCAGCAACAACAGAGGCCCCGGACAGAATTACCACGAGGATACAGCGAAGTGAAAAAGAGAAAAAGGATATTAAAAAAAGAAACGGCTTTCTGCAAGAGTCCCTGGGTTGGTGATTTTACAGAGATGTCACCCAAAGTGAGTAAATCCCACATAATCCCATTTTAATATGTCAAAATTTAATTCGGCGTGATCCACAGCCCCCGGCCTCGCTGCCAAACACCCTAGAAGGGAAAACCCAGCAGTGAAAATGAGGGTCTTTCAGGGTCAAACTCATGCTTAACTTCATATGGCCAAACCTGACTGCTCAACTGACTCCCTCAGCGCTGCCGAACAGAGGCTTTAAAGAGAGAAAAAAGGATGTGAGTGTGTTGATTCTTTCTGTGCGTGCATGTTTGTGTTTGGAGGAGTGAATCGTCTTATAAACTCGCGCCTACACCACCCGTCCGCCGCCTGCAGCAGCAGCAGCAGCAGCCGCAGCCGCAGCAGGTTCAGCAGCATAACAGTGAAACCTCATCCAAAGCAAACACCACACCACTACCTCTGTTTCACTTTGGATTCCTGCTACTTTGGAATTTTTGTTTTCTAAAAGGTGCTCTTTGTCCGCACGCTGACGTGTATTGATCTGGCGAGGCACGTGGGAGTCCACCCCTCACTTAAAACCGGCCCAGGAGAGCTGTTTAGCTGAAACAGACATCGAAACAGTCTGAATATGCATGTTCACTATAGAAGGAAAGTTGATTACCGGTGCTCCTACTCTACCCTCCTTGTACCTACAGTCGCAGAAAAATGGATTTATTCAAGCAGCTCCTTAGACGAACGACCTGACAAAGCCTTTTCAGTTGGAATAAACAGGAAAAGTTAGGAGTTCTCAATTAAAAGTCAAGCTTTTAAAAATAGTCATAAGGCGTTTGGTTTTTCCCTGCAAACGGTGAGACATGCCAGCATACAAAGCCCGGCATTCATACACAGGTCCGCCGTCCCCTACGCCCACTCCTCCGACAGCCTCAGAGAGCAGCGGCCAACAGGATGGAGAGGAAAGCAGAGCTGATATTTCATGGAAAGGAACAACATGAACAGCGGCGAACGAATGAATAGTCCCCTCAACACACCGACGGCTTTAAATGTTGAGGTCTGAGGGACGAGTGTTTGAGGACAACGCACCAGTGTTTCCAACCCGACCATGTTCAGTTTTCACCAAAATGAAAGGTGCAACTGGGACTGAGAAGCTGTTTAAACTATAAAGTCTGTACATTATGGTTCAAGACACTTCATCACAGACTATAAATGCTCGCTTTTATCCTCATAGGAGTGGTCATTTTACTTAAAACAGTTTTCAGTATAAAAACCGCATAAAGTTTCCTGAATAAACTTGTTCTTGCACCCAAATCGAGCCGTCCTCTAAACCCCAAAACATAGAAAGACGTAGAGAAAATATAACTTAGAAGACTAAAGGATGTTGTCAAAAGGAAAAGACGGCAGTATTTGTGTGGAAATGTAAAAAATTCACAACTCCTGGGTTTTTAAAGATCTGTTCAGCCCATAGACTGTATTATGGACGACTTGGCTCCGCCTTCCGTCATTATACGAATTTGACGCCAAATTGCTGTTGGTATTTCCGGAATGTTCTCCACTTCCTGGAACCACCACTTGCACATTAGCATTGTACGCATTTGGCGGGAGAGTCGAACTATGAATAAATGCTGGAACGAGACAAGAAGTGCAACGAACTAGGGACAAGACAGTGAGACACACAGGGTTAAATACAAGAGGTAATGAGGGTGATGGAAAACAGGTGAGGAGACACAATCAGGCGGCAGGTGTGACAAGACGGGGCGGGGCAGACCGGACAGGAACAAATCTAGAGGACAGAAACAACGGTTGGTGAAGTACAAAATAAAACAGGAAACGCATGACATGAAACAAAACATGAATCTTAGGCTGTGTTCGAAATGGATCCCTAACCCCTGTATAGGCGCCTTTTTTAGGGGTGTCCGAAACCTGAGTGATCAATTCCAGTGCCCCATATAGGCGACTCAAAATTTCCCATAGAGCATTGCAAAATGTAGTAACTATCCAATGGTCATTGTGGTCATCCCGTCATGCATTGCATCTTGCCATGCAGTGTCTGAAACCTCCGGTGATTGAGCTCACTACATAGTCAACTATATAGTGAAACCCTATATGGGGGTTAGGGGTTTGAGTGATTCATTTCAGACACAGCCGTAGACATGATATACGTAGTCGCCTCATTACGTGCTAGAGCGTAATCCAGCGTCACCGCCATATTGGATGAGTCTCCTCACTCCAGGCTCGCTCAAGAGCCAAACGGGCTCAATGGAGAACAAGCGACTATGCCCGTATTTTTGCACTCTATAGTTGAAAACCCGACGCAGTATTGAAAAATAATTTATTTTATTTTTTATGAGTGACATTGTCCTGTATTATTGCTACATCTCTTCCGTTGTACACAACAGTGTAAAAATCGAGCAGAGATTCAGAGAGTTATTATTAATATGGTTGGGCATTCCTACTTACCTTAATGTACTGGAGGCGCAAGGGGGACCCATCCAAGATGGTGGCCGCGCTGATACGAGAGCTCCAATAGGCAGCGTCAGGCTTTGAGGCTTCTACGCATATAATGTTTATGGACATGAATGTGCAAAAATAAAGGAAATGTAACAAACATAAAATGGGAAACTTGACATGACAAGTGGGGTTTGTATTATGTAAATATAGTGCAAAGTTTACACGATGCAATAATATAGACACTTAAGAAAGTTGGACAGTGAGTAAAATAGTTTTTTTTTGCTGCAGCAGACTTCAGAAAAAATACCAGAAGTTTCCTTTAATGAGTTTCCAAGAACATCGTCCAGTGTGGAGTGCCAGCTGTGTGGGAAGACCAGCCACCTTGACCTCCGGGACGAGCTCTGAGATATGCGGGGCGAACAGATCTGTGAGCAGGATCTCCTTTTATCTGTGAGAACCGGCAGACGGGGTCCGAGTTTATCGTGGACTGTTCTCAGACCGCACCATGACATCAGCACCTCCAAATATCCAAACAAGAGATCCATCTCAGAGCGAAGGAGTCGAACTCAAAACACTGTAAATTTCACTTCAGACTATTTATGAACACACGGCGCTGACTCTTAGTTTGCTTTTATCTGTACGCCTCAGTGGATTGTGGGAAATATCCAGACTGAGTCAGAGCCTCCACTATTAAGCCTGCAGGCTCATGTTATGGTAAAACATTCCTTTGACATTACCTTATTTCTTCTTTTTAATTTCCCACTCTACTTTGGGAATCTCCCTTTTCACGGGCGGCAGCACAGGCAGGGGCCAGCAACATGAACGTCTGCCAAGGTTAAAGCGCTCCATACTGGTGTGTGTGTGTGTGAGTGTGTGTGTATTAAGTGGACAGTTTGAAAAAATACCCCTGTTTTCTAAATCCTGCAAATAGAACAGAAAACTGCACAATAAGGGGGTCTTGAATGAATGGAACCTCTACATGCGTGGTTTCAGGGGCCGTGCGGATCATCAGCAGGTGGCCAAACGACTGTTTGGGGAGCCGGAGGAATCTCGCTAACATGTTTACTTGACCTTGGCCTGCCATCAATCGGTCGTGACCTACAGTGAGGCTGTTTACAGAGGAACTGAATCTGCTCAGGAGCATTATTAACTTCTGCCACCGAGGCTTTTTCTCAGACAGAAGACAGAAGAAATAGTGCCGTCAGCGGTGTTTAGGTCCCCTTCTGGAAATGCTGGACGTATTTATCGGAGGGCGTCACTTAAATGTTCTTTTCTGTCACTCAAATAGAAAGTAAACTCCATAAGCAAACTTTAGAGACATGGAAAAACTCCTTTACAAAATCAGGAAAGGACTCAGGATTGTTTTAAGTCTTGGCTTTAGGAATTACAGCGTGTAGCAGTTGTTTAGACTGAGGCTAATAGCTGGCTGCTTTCAGCATTACGAAGTTCAGTGGGTTTTATGCTCCAAGGGCCCGGTACTCTTCACCTCATTACTCTGAAACATTAGGAGCTATTTCATGGATGCAAACAGCCAACAGCTCTGGGATCCCTCCACCTCAGCCTCTCCTTTTTATGCTTTATCTGATTTTAACAGTGTCTTATGTAATGTCAATGATGCCTGCTCTATTCTGCTCTCTGGGAGGTCTTTTCTGCGCTGTATTTTAGAGGAATTTTTTTCTTTTCTGTTTTTCAGATTAAATTTTTCTTTTCTTTTCTGTTTTGAAGATTTTTTTTTCTGTTTTTCAAAGTAATTTTTTTTCTGTTTTTTTGACTCCTTTTTTTTTGTTTTTTTGGACTAATTTTTTCCCTGTTTTTCAAATTTTTTTTTTTTTACTTTTCTGTTTTTTTTTGTTTTTTAAAGAATTTTTTTTTCTGTTTTTCAGACATTTTTGTTCTGTTTTACATTTTTTTTTCTTTTTATGTTTTTCAAAGTAATTTTTTTTCTGTTTTTTGGACAATATTTTTTGCTATTAGGTTTTTCAGATGTTTTTTTTTCTGTTTTTTAAGGTTATTTTTTTCTGTTTTTCAGACTAATTTTTTTTTCCTTTTCTGATTTTTGGACTCATTTTTTTCTGTTTTTCAAAGAATTTTTTTCTTTTTCTGTTTTTCAGACTAAATGTTTTTTTTCTTTTTTTTCTGACAATTTTTTTGTTCTTTTCTTCTTTTCAGACGAATTTTTTTTCTGATTTTTTTTAACCCTAACCGTAACCCTTTTCCTATTTATTCTCTGGGCTCGTCATAATTTAAAAACAGACACTTTCTTCCCCCTCTGCTCGATTTATTGGGAGCAAACATGGCCTACTTGTTTGGTTTAATTAAGTTTTACTTTCTGTTTTGGGTTTGATTGCAATACGCTTCCGTACCAGACCGAGTGTTACGATATTTTGCATGAATTTAGAGAATTAGAGTTAGGGTTTGGGTTGCAAAAACAGCTAAATGCCTGATTTTGTCTGAATTTTGATGCCTATGAAAAAAAAAAAAATGACCCCAGTGCTAAAGACTAAATCATTTGTCTTTGTTTCAAACCATAAAACAAACTGTGTAATAAAAGATGTTATAGCTGTCCTCAGAGGTCAGGGAACGCTGCTCATATAAGGATGTCGCTCCAGCAGGTGACTTGGGACCACCTGGTGTCAAGACATCTGAGGCATCTCTCCAAATACTCTTAGTGCACATACTGGGGACCGGGCCACAACAGACCATCCGTCATTACCCACATGTCATGCTGAGCTCCAGTTTTAGATACTACAGCCATAGTTTTCACCGCAGGAGGTTGAATTTTTGCACTACACCATTTTTTAGGCTCTTCATCACTACAGCAAAGCTCATTTTTCACTCTCATCACCCCTTCAGTTTTATATTTGGTTGTTTTTGTGAATGCAGTCTTGTTATGTCTAGATTTGTGTCTCTGATGCTGCAGCTGTGGGTGATTTAAATCATCATGTGGTCCTGAGAGTCGACACTTAATTATTACGACTCTTCAGGAGCTCATTTTGAAACTGACTGAACTGTTTAACTCGATTTCTCCTGCGTCCTCAGGGTTTGACCCATGATTCCAGTTTATCCAGATCCTCTATAGCGGATGATCTGGGATGACTGGCAGACAGAAATCTCTGCAAGTGTAAGTGAATTTATAAAACTAGGAGTGACAGCCGAACAGAACCTCCTCTGTCTATGTCTATTTCAAAACCCGAGCTCGGTAGCTGCGCCTCCCTGCTGCGCCGAGAAGAGGAATCCTGCTGGTCTGAGATCAGAAGCTGGAGGCTGTTGGCTGTTGAGGTCAGCCACAACACTGAGAGGGCTGTCACATATATTCAGCCTGCAGACTAAATGGAAGGAGACAGACGGTAATTTACCGCACACATAATAGAAGTCAAAGCGCCAACAAACCAGGAAAAAAAAAACCCTGATATAAACTGTAACCTGCACTTTAGTACACACTTTAAAACACACACAGCATCACACTTCTGCACTCCCAGGCCTCCTCCTCCCCTCCCCCCCCTAATAAAAACCAGAGTTTCAAACAGACTCCCTGTGGTGCAGTATTCACTTCATCTGAGCTGCCACGGTGACAGTTTGAGTAATAGTATTTTCCTATTTCTTTGGACAATCGCCACTTAGTAGTTCTGTGCGATTAGGTAAGAACCTGGATTCTGAAATAAGCTTCTCTTTTTAAGGCTAATAAAGCAGTTTAGTCTTTTCAACTTAAAAAGATAAAAATTATCTCTGACCATTTAGCTTTGTGAGATCCAATAGAACACTGACTGGAGTCTTAAGGTCGTGGGTTCGAGCCTTACCTTACCCTGGTCAAGGTGAATTTTAAAGACTAGTGTCAACAAAGGACAGTGAAAGAGGAAATAAACAGAAAACTCCTGTGTGTCCACGTGGCTCAGGGGATAAGAACACTGACTCGGACTCCTGAGGTTGTGGGTTCGAGAGACCCACACCGACACTAACCATCCTGAGATAGATATGTAGGGCTGTGCGATAAACTGAAAATTTACCAATGCCAAATTTACGACAATAACCGACGTCATTTTGACCATATTGGTATTTTTAGTGTCAAAAATATAAAATAAATAAAATTTGGTTTTGGATGTGTGTAGGTAGGCTATGATCTCAAGACGCTGTCCTACATCAGAGATGTGACTCCACCCCATCCAGTCTGTTACAAAGAGGGAAAGACAGGTGAGGAGATGGAGGACAGTTCGAAAGTTTATCGTTATAGAGGTGAACTGCTCAATATATCGTGATATTGATTTGAGACCATATCGCCCAGCCCTAGTTACATATCATGTGTAAAATCGTGTGCATGAACTAAAAACTTCTGACTGTGCAGCATTTTTGCAAAGACACATTTTTGCATCACTTGTGCTTCAAGTCCAGTCATGAGATTTTGGAAGTTCTGCAGAATACTCAAAATTAATGACAGTAAATCCTAACAATACAACATCTGGTGTCCTTTATTCGTTTAGAAAAACCTCATCCATATTAAACTCATCTCTCTACGCTTGTTGGTTTCTCAGGTAGTAATGTCTCAGCCCTCACACTGATTCTGTAATTAATTCTCACCATCTGCCCTCAAACGTTTATCTGTAGCACGGCGAAAGGCAGTAGCTGCTGAACATTAAATTATCAGCCTTTCAAAACAAAACTCCTGCAGGCAGATGTGACCGGCCTTGTTGAAACTCTATGAAGAAGTAGTGTGTGTGAAAGTGATTCAAACCAGACAGACAGGGGCGACTTGCCAGTATACGCTCGGTGTGTTTTTTTCCGGCGCTCCTAGAAGCACCAGATGGGGAAAGAGCGCTCCTGAATACATCGGGTCAATTATGACGTTGTTTTGAAATGATATTCTGGAGCGTCTTTAGCGTGGCTGGCTCCCTCAAGACTAAAGACGCCGCTCTCTCGCCAAGCTTCAAATTAAAAGCAATATTATGAAAAGGGCCGCAGCTTCACTGAAACTCTAGGAAAGTAGATGAGGCTCTACAGTCGAAGGGGGATCAGTAAACAGGCTTCCTCACGTTTGGCCTTTTCCCCCTGCACGTGTCCCAGTCAGAGGGGGTGGACATTAGTTCAGGGTATCCGTCCGTTCATCCCTCATCCATTTATTCATCGGTATCCATGCAGCCTCCCTGCACAGATCAGCACTGTCGCAGTCTTTCATGCATGTCAGAAGTGGAGTATTTTATGTTCCCCTCTGCCCCCTGCAGGTCCGGCTGCTGTGATTTAAAGAGGGAAGAGTTGGGGGGGAGGAAAAAAAACTCCATCCACTGGGGAAAGACAACCTGCAGAGGAAAGATCAGAAATGTTATGAGACACACTCCAGAGGTTTGACTAAGAAGGCCAAGTTGGGGTTACAACTCTTCATAGGAGTTTGTTAACATTAGAGTACATGTGTAGTTTCCAGAAATATCGATAATGAAAAAATAAAGTAAAACCAGTAAAAAACTGTTTTCTGCACACTTGTTTTGGTCCGACTTCCCGGCCTCTAAAACCCTCCTTTTCAAAGCTGATGCTTGTTTGCGATGCGGCTCTTTTGTGTTGTTCGCCGCTCTCTCTGTGAGGGAACACGCGAGGAATGCGGCGGATCATCAGCTCTGTGAACGCCCCCCCTCCTTAAAAAGCGGTGATAAATGTGCGGCAGTTTTTCAAAGTGCAAGGTGATCAAAGGCGTGGCAGAGGTCTGGCCTTGCTTTATGGGAGTGTGGTGGTCAGCTGATGGGCCCCAGGATCAGAGACAGAAGGGGGGGGTTCAGTTTTCCATGAGCACACATGTGTGTTTGGCCCGGACTAACACAACAAGATCTGCTCAGACCTCTGTGAGCGGAGACTTCTGATCCCAAAACGGGTTTTTAGTTTCTCCAAATGAGAGCAAACACAGAATAAAAATAAGGTAAGGTAGACTTTACTGATCCTGCATGGGGGAAACTATTTCACCACCAGGACAAGAAGACTAATACAGACAACAAACAGCATGGAGACGTCAGAAAAACATAAACTAACACCAGATACACAACAAACACAGTAAAGGCTAATGCGACATCAACAATAAAAGATACGGACATGATTAGATACAACAAATATCTCTACAACTATGCAGCAGTGCCAAGTCAGACCCTAACATACTCTGCTGGAACAAAAGACCTTCTCAGTCGTTCGATGGAGCACCGAGGCATCACAAGTCGCTCACTGAAAGAGCTCTCAAGACCTTTGAAGACATAGACCAATGGATGATCTTTGTAGACCAGGATTAATTTTGATTTAGACCTGGTCCTCCTCTCAACAATGACCTCAAGACACTCTGGGACTAAGCCAATAACTGATCCAGCCCTCTTTGTCATCTTGTTGATCCTATTTTTGTCGTCAGATGATATGCTTCCCCCCCAGCAAAGTACAGCATAAAAAAGGACGTGAGCCAGAGTACTTTGGTAAAAGACATCCAGAAGCCCAGTGCTGACATTGACAGATCTTCACTTTCTGAGAAAGAAGAGTCTGGACTTGGTCTTCTTCAATGAGGCCTGTGTATTTTCTTTCCAGTTTAATTTATAGGACTCAACAATTTCAATCTGCTTGCCTTTTATTGACAGGGGTAGGACCTCCCTTTTTTTCTTTCTAAAGTCAATAATCAGCTTTTTCATTTTTCCTCCGTTAAGCATCAAAAACTTTGAGTCACACCAGTTTACAAATGACTGGACCTCCTTCCTGGAGGCCAGGTCACACTAGGGCTGTGTCATCAGATTTCAGATTGTGGGCAATCGCTCATTTGTTCATCACAGATTGGACCTTTATTTGTTTTTTTCAGTAACTCTGCAGGAACTGGCGAAAACATGTTGCTTTGCATTGTTGTGGTCGTAAACTCACATTGAACATGTTTGCAGCATATGGCGTCAGTGTGGACTCCACAACGACACCATATGATAGCAAATGTGCAGGCCTCAGTCTGCATGTCCTCTCGGTCTGTCATGGGACTTACAGGACTTTAATTTTCAATCAAACTCTCAGTTTTCGGTCTTTAACATCTGTACTGCATGTGTTTCCCTTCACAGGAGCCAAACTCAACAGGTTTTACATAACTGACCTTTTTTGGTCAGTAGATTTGGGTCGACTCCAACATTATGAAACAATACCTGATATGTTTTGATATCCCGACTCACTGATTGACATGTTCCACTCAGTCACAGGTTACAGGAGCGGGATTAATCCGAACTGCTCGGTAAAATTGAAATGAAATCGTTCAGTCTTTGCTGGAATAACAGAGTCGGTGGATTTTGGCAGGAGGAGCGAGCGGGAGACTTTTACAGAATCACTTAATTGATGAAAATAGGATTATTTCGAAAAGTGAAACACACTCTCCCCTTGGCTGAATGAGAGCAGTAATTTCTGATTCAGATGGAGCCCAGACACAGGAAATAGATCCATAAAGTATATTATATTATGGAGCCAAATTCCCAGCTTTTAGTCCAGACTGAGAAACACAGGCTTTCTCTTCTCTCGTGTCAAGGCCTAGACTCAGAGTCTGATCGACCGTCTGTAGCTGAACCAAAATCTAACAGATGAGACCAAGAGCTGAAAGGCTGAGTCCAAAATACACAAGGGGAATGTCTCTGACAAAACGCACAAATAAGACTTTCACTAAGGAGATGATATTATCTGGAGAGGAGAAGAGGAGAAACCAGGGTACATCAATCAATCAATCAATCAATCAATCTTTATTTATACAGCACCAATCCACAACAAAAGAGCAGACTCTATTTACAAAGACCCAGAGGGATCAGATTGAACACCATCTTGTAAGATCAGACCCACTTCACACAGCATTAATCGAGTTACAGTGGAGAGGAAGAACTTCCTTTAACAGGCAGAAACCTTGAGCAGAACCAGACTCAAGAACTTCGTTTAACAGGCCAATACCTCGAGCGGGACCAGACTCAAGAACTTCCATTGACAGGCAGAAACCTCAAGCAGGATCATACTCAAGAACTTCCTTTAACAGGCAGAAACCTCAAGCAGGACCAGACTCAAGAATTTCCTTTAACAGGCAGACACCTCGAGCAGAACCAGACTCAAGAACTTCCTTTAACAGGCAGAAACCTCGAGCAGAACCAAACTCTAGAACGTCTTTAGCAGGCAGAAACCTCAAGAAGGACCAGACTCAAGAACTTCCTTTAACAGGCTGAAACCTTGAGCAGATTTGATGTCAGATAGTCATCTGCTGAGACCGAACGTGGTTTAGAGAGGGAAGTAACACTAGACTAGAAACACAGGGAATCAGCTACTACAAAATAAAACAGGAAATAAACACTGAAAACTGATCTAAAGAATGAAACAGAGAACAGGAGGGAAACAGGGTCAAAGACAAACTGAAAACTCACAAGACAAGATCACAGGAACGATAGGGAACAGAAACACTTAGAAAAATACACAGAAAATACACTGAAATAACAAAAACATGAAAAAACTAAATAAACAGAACATATCATGACTGAAAAGATTGATGGGAGTGGAAGAAAATATATGTATGGTCCTATTTGTCATGTATTACTGCAGATATAAAAAGTATTCTGACTCTGTCGGATCGACCATAAACTTAACTGTCATCTTTACACTCTGAGCTCTGAGGTTCAACATCATTATTCCCTCACGGCCACACGGCAAGAGGTTAACAGTAGCTGTAAATGGGAGGTGAAATTCGGTTAATGGGCCTTGACAGCAGCCCCTCCGAACACATGCTCGGTGTCAAAAAAGAAAAGACCGTCTGAAACCCTCTGAGGAAATGTTAAACCTATTTGCCAGGCGGGTCAAAGGTCAGCCCAGTGTGACCCTTCCTCTTTGTTTGTTCAGTGGGTCACCACCTGGATCTGTTTCTAATTGTGGACACGGACTTAAAATATGCCTTTGCTACAGTAGGGGGAAGTTGCAGTCATTTATTAAACAGGTGGGGGCGAAGCAAGTTGACAGGCCCGTGTAATGGTTAACGCCAGTGCACGTGCATGAGTGTGCATGAATGTGCATGAATGTGCATGAATGTGCATTTATTATCATCCCTTTTTCTCTTATTGTTTGTCCGAATCTTCCTCTCTTTCTGTCTTTTATCTCCTTTTTGTCTTCCTTTGTCTCCTGCTGCTCAGAGGTCACTCTTCCTGCTCTGCTGTATCTTTGCAGGAGAGCAGAGAACAAAGATAAGTGTTGCAGTCCCTTCAGGGAGGTGTCTTCCTGTCTACCTTTTTGTGCTGATCACTGTGCATCTTTAAATAACACTTCAACCTCTCGAGTCCGTCACCACACACTTGTTCATGTGCAAAGAAAGACACGTTGAAGTGTTGCTCTCCTCTTAACTGATTCTTTGAATTGATTAAAGGCAAACAAAGACGTGCTATGGAAGAAGATTAGGGCCACCAGGGAAAAAAAAAGGTCTGATA